ATAAGTAGATTGGAGGTCTCAGAAAGTATAAAAAATATTAATAATATAGGTTTATTCTTTATATGATAAGATTATTTGCAGAAGGAGTTGATTCTCAAAATTATTATACAAGAATATTATGTGGAAGACATCTATTCAAGATTTTACATAACATTCCAGTAAATTTATTTAATAAGTTATTTGATGACAAGATATCTTATGAATTATTGAATATCACAGTGGGTTTGTTTTTAAAGAAAGGAAAAAAAGATGTTGGAAGAACTTAAAAAGGATTGGCAATAAAACTTGGATCATATTTATAAAATATTATTTGGGAAGAAGGAAAATCAAAATAATTGAAATAAGCAACACAGGCTTTAGAAATATAAATGATAAAGACTATTTTAGAAGAGGAGAAAAAGGAATTAAGGCTTGATGCTTTAATTAATACTGAAGTAAATGAATTCACATTGTAGTATATGTTGCTCAGACTTAGAGATACAGATGTGAACATAAGATTACAAGTTTTTACAAAACTTATGAAAAATAATCTAAATATTTAATAACTAAATATTTTGGATAGATATTAAGTGATTTATGATGGTCTAAGAGGTAATAATAAAAAAGTTATAGAATAATGTCAAATCTACATTTAACATTCATTTGAATAATTGATGATAAAGAATGAAAAGAAAAAACAGAATAAGTCCATAGAATAAGTAATAAAAAACTTTGTAAATTTATTTGAAATCGAAAAAACATTAATATTCCCTTAATTATATTGTACAATTCAGGATGTCTTAAAAATATTAATAGAATCATCTCATCAAGAAAACTTACTAATATACTTCCAGGATACATTAAAGAATCTAAGTCATAAGACAAGTGGAGCTGAGATGACATTTTTAAAAGTTGTCTGTAAAATGAATAATAATTCTTAGGAATAAATTTAATTAATGTCGTAAATGAATTAAATAATAGAATAGAATTATCCCAGTTGGTAAATGATAGCATAAATATTAAATTAAGATTTAGATTTACTATAATACAATGAATTATTTTAAATAGCTGCATTATAGTTATAGACAACAGAGAACAAAAAAGAATAAAATGTTTTATTAGATTAATTGGTTGAGTTTATTGGTGAATACAAATAGTTGGAATGTCCAAAAATATAAAGTTAGAAATATAATGATATTTATGAATTCAAAACTAATTAGGAAATTGAATTTTAATGGTTTGCCTAACACTCAAACTAAATTTTATTAGTTAAAAGTTGGTATGAATTATTGATACCCGCTATGAAAGTCATTAGATTATTAGTTTAATCATAGAATCATTTAATTGACCTTGTTTTTAATGTTTTTGAAAAATTATAGAAAAGAAATGTTATGGAAAAGATATAAAATTTGGATAAGAAAATAAAAGAAAAAGGAGATTAAAGAGACAAAATTAGAAATGAAATACTATAACTTATAAAAGAATAGAACTATGATCATAAAACTCTAGAGTTGAATGAATTATTATTGAAGGAATTGGACTAATCTTTATTATAAATATTCAGTGAATTAGATTAACTGAAGGAATTCAATTAATAAATTGATTTGCATAGTTTATACTTGTTAGATGCTTTGATAAATTAATTAAATTTCGATAAAGTTGAAGATCGTACATTCATTAAATTAAAGAATATTATTGTCTAAATGAATAAAAACTATACACCTTTTGAAAATTGCTTAGTTAAAAGACTATCTTATAGATGTTTGGGCTATATTCCTTTATTTGGAATGAACATTGATGGTAGTATTATTCCTAAATTTGCTAAATTTTTATAAAATCCATATGAATTGTCATAATATGATCCTGTTATTGTAATTATAGCATTAAGAAGTATATTGGACTCCTTTTTAGTCTATCATGAAGATCTAGTTTGGGTATATGATTCAGAATAGTATGAAAAATAGAAGATTATGTAAATAATAATGAATTATGTTTTTAAGCATGATTCCATCGTTTAATTAACAGCAATTAAAGGTTTTGGCAATTTACTTATTAATAATAAATTATAAAAGCCTAATGTTTGGATTGCTCAATTATTATTTGTTTGGTTTGACAGTAAGTTTAGATAACAAAATGAGAATCTTGAAAGAATGAGTTGCATAATTAAGATCTATATCAATTCTTCAGCTTAATCCTTATATACTTTTGAAAAAGCTTTGGAGATTTATTTTGGTGTATGCTTTCAAATACACAAAGATAAAGGTTCAATTTTAAATCCTTAAATAATGGGGACTTAATAATAATTGGATAACTCATTGATTCAAATATCCACGAACAGTGTTAAATTTATGAGTTATAAACCAATTAATGAAAAATAAATACAAGAGTTTAAGAATGATATTGATTCAGAAAACATTAAAACTAATTTTATTGGGCCTCAAGAAAGACTTATAATCTTTTTATGTAAATAAATTACAACTGAAAATTAAGTTATTTTATAATAAATCATTAGGTTAGTCATCAAGTAAACAGATTTTTTGGAAATGTATTCAGCAATTCCAAATGAATAAGCTAAAATTAATTTAACCCCCTCTTTTTATCAATGCTTAATACAAACTTTGGAAGAATATGTTCAGGTATTAGAAAATTATAATATCGATACAAAAGAAGAAATTATATTTATTAATGTTTTAAAAGATGAAGCAGCAAATAAAGGTCTTAATCATGGTTTCTAATTAAAATAATGTCTTTTCAAAGAATTTGATATATAAATGGATGATATCAACTATTTAATCAACGAGTTCAAAAATAATTCAATAATTATTCAAGGTCAATGTCAGAAAGAAGAAGATTTTAAAGGTATTTATTATTATTCTATATATTTTAGATGAATTAAAATCCTCTTCAGAGGAGTAAAAAAAGCGAAAGAAAGTTTCACTTCATAAACTAGAAAGTAAGTATTTTAACGATTTTTAGATATTCTTCCTAAAATTTCTTTCTTTTTTCTCAAAAAACGAGGAATACCAATTAATTTAAGTTTTTATTTCTAATAACATTTAAGAAAATTATTTTTAAATTAATCAATTTTCAGTCACCATAGTATGAATATATTTTATAAAAAAAAAAAGAGTATACTAAATTTTATTAGTTTTTATTTAAAGTAGATATATTAGCCAAAGAAATATATAATTTAATTAAATAATTGATTTTGATAAAAGCTTATTATCTAATTTACCTCATATAGTTCAAAAAAATGAATGAATTCAACAAAGATGTGTTTATTTTCAACTTCATCAAAAAAAAATCAATCTTGAGTCAATTAATCAATTACTTCTTTATGTCTAACTAATTTAAAAATTAATTCCATTTATAAAAATCATTTGTAATAAACTTTTAAAGAATTATTTTAAAATATCAATAAAAAAATAAAAAAATAAATAATAGTTAAAGGGAAAATAAGAGTAGATCTAAAAGTGTATTTATAAATAAAATGAGGGAGAATAAAAAAATTAACATTATATTAATAAAATTACATAAAAAAATAAACTATATGAAATAGATTTTTCATATAGCTGTTGAATTAATGAAGCAATAAATTGTTTAAATTTCTTTATGTATTCCTCATAAATAAAAATTAATAATTTTATCAACCATTCCTTTTTTTGGACATACATAACCATTTCATAAAAAAATTTATCAAAATAATTATCAAATAGTTCAAATTTGCTGAAATTCATCAAAATTATTCCATTTTGCTTATATCTTTCAGTCCTCTTCATACAATCCTTATAATTTTTGGTTGATAATAATTTAATTAGTATACTTTATAATTTGCTGTATTTCCAAAAAAAATAATAAGAATTTTATAAAAATGATTTTTTTAATCTCCTCGGGAATTGATGGCTTCAATTTGACTTTCTCTAAATATTTTATAAGTAATCCTTACTTTTCTTATCTTTTAAGAAGTTTAAATCCTTTTTCATTTTATTTACAAACTTTAATTAATGATAAATATAAAATATTTTTATACATGATTGTCATTCTTGGAGGTAAATATTCTAAACAGCATAATAATAAATAAAGTAAATATACATAGATTAACTGATAATAACAAAAATTAGAATAAAACTATAAATTTGATTAAAATATTTTTTAAAAACCTTACTCTTTGATCTTTTTTTTAAATTTAATGATAAGTATTTTTTTCATTTTTATCAAATTAATAGAAGTAATAAATTTTAAATAAATAATTTTTTCTAAATGCGCACTATGGTTGGATTATAATTAATTTGAGATATAAAAAAAAACAATATAGAATATTATGAAATCAAGATAATTTGAACAAAAATAAAAACATTAACTCTTTGAGAGACGATTTTAACTATTAAGAGGAGGTGGATGCATTAATAATTCTATAATCCATGATATTTATTAGATAGATGCAAAAAAGAATCAATAAAATGGAATGCCTATAGGATTTATGAATTAGTTGATAAAGTTTACAAATCTGATAAACGAAAAAGCACTTAATGTGAAATAAGAATAATAAACATTTGAAATAATGAATGGAATATTATGGTTTCTGTATAACTAAGAATAATTTAATCATATGTGTTAGAATGATAAATTAGCTAATCAATACTTTGATTTAATTACAGTTTCTTTAGATAAAATATTAAAACAAGCACCAACTTATTTAAGAATATCTGGTAATTTAGGATTATATATACTTTCTATTTGTAATACATTTTTGAGAGTCTTATATTCTTTTTTTATAAAAAAAAAGCCATTTAAATTAAAGAAAGAATACATATTAAATTTAGAAAAATATATTGAAGAAATTGAATCAATCTTAGAATAAGATCAATCGTAAGTTTGGAATACAGGATTTGAGTTTGAATTATTAATGATTAAAATAGTAATTGACTAATTACCAAATGATTGTGAATAAGGTTAAGAGATTTTGAACTCAGTAGCATTTGAAATATTAATGTCTCTAATTTCTTTATAACCTAGTGAAGGATTATTTGCGACAATAATCAATGGAGGTAAGTTTTTATTTAATAAAATCAAAAATAAATTTGCTAGACCTATCGAAAAATACAATATTTATTTCTATTTTGAATCTTTAAAATGGAGTGTAATTACTTAATTAAAAAAGCATTATTCTGTATTAAATATAGAAAATTAATTGTTGGAAGTATATAATAACTATATTGAAAATTCCAACGATTGGTTAGTACATTATTGCTGGATCAAAATGATTTCAGATATATTAATTTATCGACCCCTTTTATAAAGAGATATAATATTTTCAAATTTAAACATTCTTGAAAAAAGGGAAAATTGGAAAAAACTTATTGATATGTAATTAATAAAATCTTTAAGTTATGATTAAAACATTGGTAAATTAGTTATTTTTAAAAACAATAAAAGAGACTATTAATAATTTAATGATTTGGATATCGATCTCTACAATTATGGAATTAATGAATTAAGAGAATTCTAAACTCACTTAATTACTTAGTAAACCTAATCATAATTAAAATTATGGAATTCATATTTAACATATAAATCAAATTCAGAAACTAAAAATATGAATCAACAACAAGACTCTTTTGAATTTATATAATTACTTTCATTATTTTTAGAAGAATAATAAAAATCTAAATTAAAACTAAATTAAATTATTTAATCAATAACAGAATCTTTATTAAATTTAAAATAAGAATAAAATTAAAAAGATAATTTATAACTCATTTACAAAAATGACTTATTAAAGAAATGCTAAAATATTTAGAATACAATTTTAGAATCTTTTTATTTGATAAATGAAATAAACTTTTTTCTAATATTATCGTAATAAAGAATAATATTAAGTGTTAATTAAATTTAATAAACTACTAAGAAATAAAAATTAGTTTTGATTAAATCTATAATTGAAGATATTACGTTACAATATAATTAAAATTTTCTCAAATGTCTTTTAATTCTGCCTTAATAATTAAAAGAATTTTAAATTGTTGTTAAATCTTTTGAAAAAACTCTAAATAATTAATCCTAACTGTTGAATATATTAAATCCTTTTTAAAATTTAACAATAAATGAATCGTTCCTGAGTTTAATTGGCTGCTTAAAAATTTTAAACGAAAAAATGGCTAAATTTTAAGATGAATATGATATAATAATATCTACAGATAAAGATTTATAAATTTCAGATATTATTGAAAAGGATAAATTTAGAAATTTCATCTATGAGTTTGATAATTTCAATTTTTCTTTTTTATTAATCGAATTCATCTAAAATTTATTCTAACTCAATTTTTAAGAAGATATGTTCACATTAAATGTAACTGAAAATATTTAGGAAAATAGCATAAATTGCTAACAGATTCTAATATATCTTATACTTGTATAAAAATTGATCTAAAATTTAAAAGTGCAAATCAATATTTCTAATTCTGTTTACAAAGATGATTGTAATAATAAATAAGATAAACATGAAATTGAAAATGTTACAGAAATTCTTAATGTCATTATTAAAGAACAAAGAAATTAACTTTATTAGATGATAAAATATAATCATTAAAAAAATGAATCTAATTTCAAATAACTTGTAAATTTAATTGCCAAGAACTAAAGAATAATAGGGGCCTTAAATTTTGATAACCAAATTAAAGTAAATATTTTAATGAATATGACGAATTTATCTGCTATTTTAATTGAATTGTCATTTAAAGGTGTTCAATAGTAATAAGAAGTTCAGAATAGTATTGAATAAATTTATTGTAATATAGATCTCGAAGTACAAAAATTAGATAGATATTACTTATAAAATTTATAAATTAATACATTATAATAGAGAAATTCTGAAGCTAGATAAATTTAGATAGATTAGTTTTTATAATTGACATAAAGTTTGCAAAATTTAATTTCATAATTGAATGATTTTTAAAGTTCAATTCACCATACTAATTTAGTAATTTTAAATTCTAGCATAGATTAAAATTAATTAAAAGAAATCTCAACAACAACAAATCTTAATATTATAAAATCTATTAAATAAATTTCTATGCAATTAGAATCATTAATGATAATAAGAAAAAATAATAAATTAGCTTTAATAGATAGTGAATACTTAGATTAAATTGATTAAATTTAATATAATATAATTTTCGATTGTTTTAATTAGTTAACTAATTATACATAAAATTATGAATTTCAAGAGATTTAAAAAAATGAATAAGATGAAACTTATATTTACATAGTTGATATATTTAAGAAATTATAATCTACTTCAAATTCATAAAAAGATGATGACAGTGATTGCAAAGTAAGAGAATGTTTATGCTTTTAACTTTTAACAATATAAAATTCTGTTTAAGAAAGTTTGATAATATAATTTTGTTAGTAATTGATTAAATAGATGTGGATTGTAGAAAAAAATTAAAAAGTAAAATAAACACTACAAAGTTAAGAATTAATAGATTTATAAAAAAAGTTATTTAATTAAGATTTAGGATAATTTACAAATGATTTGAAATAAGAAATGAAAAATAAATTAGAAGTACTTAGTTAATTAGAATATAAAATTCGATTTGAAGAGGATAAATCCAGTAAGTAATAGCTATAAATAAAACTGACAAATAATTATTAAGAATTTGAAGAATTTTTGGATAAAATTACTGAGATGTCTTAGAAATTAGATATTAATCTAGAATTAATAAAAGAAAATAGGAAAATGTTAATTTAATTAAAATAAAAAATTGATTAACTACAAACTGTTATAGATGATATTGCTATAGATGTTAAAAGATTAAGAGGGAAAAGTGTTAATGAGCTTTTTTAGATAAGAAGTTAAGTAGTATTAAAATAAAAATAAATTACAGAGATGAAAACTATCTATGTAGAGCTAAAAGTTGAAATAAACGATACAAAAAATGGATAAAAAGTTGAAACAAATAATTAAAAAGTTGTTAGTTGGTTAATGAAAACGAAAGCAAACGATTTTTAAGGGGAATTAAATAAATTTTTATAGAATTATTAGGATGATAAGATAATTGAAGATATAGATTAAGAGATTGATGTAATTTAAAATGATTAGATAAATCAGAGTTATAATTAGAAAGATGTAATGTTAATTAAAGGTAAAGCAGGAGCTGGCAAAAGTACAGCAGCTTAAAAGATAGAGTAATTTTTGTGGGAAAATTAAAATGAATTTAAATAGAAATGGATTCCTATATTTATTGCCTTACCAACAATTTAAAATCCAAAATATAATCTCTTAGAAGAAGCTTTAGAATCTGATAATTATAATTTTGATAAGACATAGTTAAGAGAATTTAAAGATTTAATAAATGAAAAAAAAATAAATGTTGTTTTAATCTTAGACAGTTATGATGAGATGCATTTTGATTTCATCTAATAAAATTTATATTAAACTAATAGATTAAAGGAATAATTTAAGATTTATGAAAATAATTTAGGTTAAAATTTGAAAATTATAATAACAACCAGAACAGAGATATTAACAGCATCAAGTTATTAAACCTGGTTTTATGGAGAGAAAATAAATTCTATGATAGAAATAGAACTTATGAAATTTGATATTATCTAAACATAAGAATATTTAACATTGTATAGTATACTAAATCTTAAGACATATATTTTTAGTATTTTTGAGTATTTGATGTAATTAAAACATGCTTAATTTGAAGTTCAACAATTTTCATCTTTTTGGACTGAGCTATATCCAATCATTCAAAAAGATACTACGAATTCAAATAATGATAATTTATTATCCAGAAGCTGTATAGCAGAAATCTTGAAAAAATTTGAATAATTTGAACCTTTTAAATATATTAATCAAAAGTAACTCATAACTTTTGAGAATGATATGTAAAACTTTTGGAGTGCTTCAAAATATCAAAAATAATTATTAAATTCTAATTTATATACTTTCTTAGAGACTCCTTTTCTAATTGAATTGTTTGTTCATGTGCTTCCTTATTCAAATATAGATTTGGAGGAAACTTAAGAATAATTCTCTTAAAATTATATTAAATTAAAAACTGCTAAAAAGGTTTCTGAAAGGTTAATTTAATAACATAAGAATATTGAAGGTATTAATTCAGATTTAATTAAGTAATAAAATGATGATTTTTAATTTGAAGTGAAATCTATTTTAGAATAATTATAATCGTAAAATTTCTTCAAATCATATTCTATAATTAATTAGATTGAATAAATTGACGATATAACTATTAATATTAATAATCAATTATTCACTTTTTCAATTAATGAAGATATTTAAACTATAGTATAGGCCTTCCTAATCAAAACAATTACAGTCTATGATTTTTACAATTTATTTATTGAATAATATAATGAAAAATAAATATAAAAACTTAGACATTAAGGAAAAATAAAGGATTCTGAATGCTTTAAATTTGATTTAATGAAATACTCAGAAGCCCTTGCCCTTGATATGTCAATTCATTAAACAACAACCATTTAAAACCGTGTTAAAGGATAATTGAAATTAAAGAGTAAATGGATAGGTAATAATAATGAGTATTGGTATGATTAATATTTTGAAGGAGATGAAGAATATTGTAATCTAATAAGAAGAGCTGCTTTACTTATAAAAATAGGGAATAACTATTCTTTTACACATAAATCAATTCAAGAATTTTATGTAGCTAAATTTATTCTAGGGTTATTAAAAAAAATATAGGTTGATATCAAACTAGAGGATTTATTGTAAAATAATAATTAAATGGAAAATTTATCGAAAGAAAAAGTTATGATTAAATGTTAATGGATATTTGATATTAATGAAGGTTTCAGAGATTTATTTTTGTATTAAGAACAATATATGGGTGTTCGAAGTTTTGTGGTAGAGTAAATTAGAGAGATTGAGATGATAGAAAATAAGTTATTATTTGTTATAAAGCTTACTGCAAAATTTCCAAATTATATCAGAGCAGCATCTAATTGTACATAACTTTTAAATTGGTTTAACAAAAATTTTTAATTTTAGGATCTATAAAACATTAAATTAGAATATGTGAGTTTGTATGGAACAAATTTTTATGGAAGCAACTTACAGAATTCATAATTTTAAAATATCAACATCAATCGTTGTATTAGTAATTTTATCAATTCAAATTTATAAAATATTAAATGGTAAAATACAATATTGTATGAAAAACCTATTATGAGGGGACATATCGGAAATATAAATTCAATAGCATTTTCTTTTGATGGTACTACTTTGGCTTCATGTGGTAATGATACATTAGTCAATATTTGGAATTATAAAACAGGAAAATAAATTTATAAACTTGAAGGTCATTAGAGTAGAGTAAATTCGGTATGTTTTGCAAAAGATAATATTATTCTGGCTTCTGGTAGTGAGGACTTTTTAATTTTATTATGGAAATATAAAGAGGGAGTATTACTTATAGAATTAGATGGACATTTAAGTGGTGTGAAATAGATTTCATTTTCAAATGAAGGAAATACTTTTGCATCATGTAGTGAAGATGGTACAATTTTAATATGGGATTATTAATCAAAACAGTAAAAAAGTTTTATAAAAGCTCATTAATGTTGTGTCAATTCAATAGCATTCTCTATAAAAGATAATATTATAGCTTCTGGTAGTACAGATAAATCAATTATATTATGGGAACATGAATCAGGCAATAAAATCAGAAGTTTAGATGGTCATTCTGATAACATTACCACAATAGTTTTTGCTATGGATGGTCATTCACTTGTTTCAGGTAGTTGGGATATGTTAATTATTATATGGGATTATAAGAATGGAAAAATTATAAGAAAATTAGAGGGTCATTCTAATGCAATTGAATCAATTGCATTATCATAAGATGGATTATTACTAGCTTCTGTTAGTAGTGATAAAACAGCTATATTATGGGATTTTAAATCTGCAAAATAAATAGGTTTATTAGAAGGTCATTCTGATGTAATTTTTTCAGTTGCATTTTCAATAGATGGATCGACTCTTGCTTCATGTAGTCGAGATAATACAATAATTTTATGGGATTGTTAATCATGTCTATAAATAGAGAATGTGGATGGACATTTAAAAGGTATTAATGCAATTTAATTTTCTCTGGATGGATTGATACTAGCATCTGCAAGTTCTGATAAAACAATTATAATGTGGAATACTTAGACAGGATAGATTATTAAAAAATTAGATGGTCATTCAGGTGTTGTAACATCTATTGCTTTCTCAATTGATGGTCTACACATAGCATCAGGAAGTTATGATAAAACAATAATATTGTGGGATATTAGAACTGGAATTAAAATAAGGAGCATTGGTAGTCATTCTGATTTGATAACATCATTAGCATTTTCATCTAATGGTTATGCATTAGCATCTGGTAGTTATGATAAAACTATTATAATTTGGGATTATAAGACAAAAAGAATCATTGCAAAATTAGAAGGTCATTCAAGTTTTGTATTTACAGTGGCCTTTTCTCCAAATGGAATTATTTTAGCTTCTGGAAGTAAGGATAAAACAATATTGATATGGGATTATAAATAAAAAAAATAAATTGGAAATCTATAGGGTCATTTTAGCAATGTCAATTGTGTTGTATTTTCAATAGATGGTATTCATTTAGCTTCTTGTAGTTCAGATTGCTCAATTATTTTATGGGATTATAAATCATGTAAACAAGTTAGAAAAATTGGCAACCATTCTAATTAAATAAACTAAATTGCTTTTTCTTAAAATAGTTAAACTCTTGCTTCAGTTAGTCTTGATCGAACTATAATGCTATGGGATTACAAAGCGGGAATACTATTATAAAAAATTGATGGTCATATTGGTAATATTACATCTATTGCTTATTCTCCTGATGGCAAAATACTGGCATCAGGTAGTTAAGACAAAACTATTCGACTTCATTTTTTCTCTCTTTAAAAATCATTATTTTAATATCAGTATTCTTATCCTTATTCTTGTAAATTAGAAGTGGATGAAGCTATATTGAATAATAATTCCATAATCTTAAATTTAAAAAATGAATAACTTGAACCCCTGTTTCAATCGAAAGGGGCAAAAAATATTTAAAAATGATATTAATTATAGAGATTTTATTGAAAAATATTTATAAATTTTTTTATATATAATGAATAATTACAATTTATTTTATAATCCTTAAAACATTCATTCATTCATTACTTTGATCAAATGAAGAAAATTAATTTTGTTTAACAAATTTAACTCAAAATGACTGATAAAGATTCATTAGATAAATTTTAGTAATCATCAAATTGGTTTTAAAAAAACACAATTTTTTGATTTTATAGATTATTTTATTCTTGAACTATGAAATAAATAAAAACTATTTATTTGGAAAGGTTGCAAAAACTTCTGTAATCACAGATCATCTTTCTTAAAGAGTTAAACTTTTTATGAATTATGATTAAATTATATTAAATATATGTTAATTATTAACTTGATTATTAGGACTATATTATTTAACTCAGAACTTTGATATAACGAATATAAAATTGTTTTTAAAGTATCTACTCATAAATTAAAAGGAAATTTTGAAATATATGATGCTAATAATAAAATGATTTATTTCTGTTTTTAAACTTAAAAGAAACAATTTTTGTCTAAAATTTTCCAATGCTTTAAAATTGCCCAGATTAAGAAAAAATCAAAGATGTAAATTGATTGTTATTTACGTGTCATTGAATATATATTTATTAAATAAAAATGCAGCAAATAAATTATGATGAAGCTCTCCTAACCTTTTAATGCTAGCGAAAACATTTAGTTATTGATTCTAAATACAATTTATACTTATTTCCTCAAACTTTAATTCTTACAAGCGTAATTATTAAAAATTTTCATAGAATCCAAAATAACAAAACCCTAAGTATATAGTATAACTAAGCTTAACATCTAAGATTTATTGGATAACAAAGTCCAAAACTCCAATTCTTGAATAGTTTGGATTCCTTTACAAGGATAAAATAAAATATTTTTCTGCCACAACTAAGGAATTGTAAAAACTTAAAGATTTAATACAATGTAAAATTATGTAAAAAGATATAAACGATTTCTATACTTCCAAGTCTCTATTAGGAATAGGAGTTACTTCTAAAGTATTGTTTTCATTTATTTCAGGTTTATTTAGTGACTAAAAAAGATGATTAATCTCAATTTGCATCTAAATGTGTTGACAAGAAAATTTTATAGAAAGATGGAAGATATGTAATTAATATATATTTAATTAAAAGGATGCTTAGTTCAATGAAATTTAATTAATGTAAAAGCTCAAACATGATAATATTATACAATTAATTGATCTTTATGAAGGAGAAAACACATTTTATTTAATTCTAGAATATTTGGAAGGAAAAAGTTTGCATGAATTACTACTTATTTAAAAATAATCAATTTTTGAATAAGAAATAATATAATAAATAATGAAGGTAATAGTGTTTTAAATTGAAGTTAATACTCTAAGCTATTGATTATATGCATTCTCAGGGAATTATGCATAGGGATTTGAAGCCAGAAAATATTATGTTTAAATAACATAATTAACTATAATCTCTAAAAATAGTTGATTTTGGTTTAGCCACTCTATAAAATTTAGATGTCTATCATTTCCCTAGATGTGGTACCCCTGGATATGTTGCACCAGAAATTGCTAATTTAGAAGATTTATCATAAAAATATTCAGTTCTTTGTGATGAATTTAGTGTAGGCTGCATTTTTTATAAACTGTATTCAATTTAATTATTTGAAGATGTACAGGAAATGAACTCTTTCCTGGAAATGATTACCCTGTAATTATGAAACTAAATTAAAAATGTGACATTGTATTAGATGCACTAAACATATATCAAACGCCACCAGAAGCTATAGATTTAATATCAAAATTACTAAAAGTAAATCCATAAGAAAGAATTTGTGCTAAAGATGCTTTATAGCATCCATATTTCTAATTATAATACTAAGCTTAAAATCCTCTATTCTCATAATCTCATTTTTCATAATAGATTCCTAAATTTCAAGCTTAAAATTTCAATAACAAAATAATTAATGATTTTTAATAAAATTTTGAAGAAGAAATTGTTGAAAATGAAAATACTAAATAGTTAAGCATACCTGCGATTTCAATTATTAAATCATTTGGATATTAATAAAAACATTCTTATTCAACTTAGCATCCCCAAACTCAAAAAAATATCAAAAAATATTAAACCCAAGATTTTGATTAGAATAATGAGATAAATTCTCCAAAATTTAATAATATCAAACCATCTTTAGTCATGAATTCTGAAAAGTTTGTTAAATCTTCAGATTTTTAGAATACAGCGAAAACATTTAAAAATAATTTAGTAGATAAGGGTTGTGCTTCTGAGGCAATTAATTATATACATAAAATAGAAGAGGAACAAGATGAAGAATAAGCAATGTAGAAATGATTAAATTTTAATTATGTATTTCATTATTGGCTAAATTCTTCATATTCTAATAATTATGAATAACAGTAAACCTAATTTTAGTTTTTAATGAATATTTTTTTGTGAGGAATGATATATATTAATATTTCTTATTCATTATTATTATTTTATGATTTAATATATATTACCAAATAACTTTATTACATTTTTTTCATACTTTTCAGAAAGTATTGCATATTATCATTTTGATAGATCAAAAAATTAATCACAGTGAACTCAATTTTATCCTATATTGATTTACAAAAAACTGATTTGCAGAATAAATTTTAAAATATTATTGAATATTATTACATTAATCTTTAAAAATTATTTGAAATATTATCAAATTTAAAACAATATTACCATCAGAATTCTATTAAAAGATTATACAATTCGGCTAAAAATAAAACATATTACGTAACATATACGCGCTATCTAAATTCTTAAATATAAGTTAGAATAAACCTACAGCTGAAATTGAGAAAAGTTCTCTCATTACTTTAAATTATTATTTCAAAGCATAATAACCAAATATATATTTTCATATTAATGGATAAATGATTAATGCAATATAATTTTTAATCAATTTTTTCATTTTAATATCAAACATTTATATAGTTTGAAAATTTTTCAATTTGTGATAAAACAATACTCTGTCTAAATCAAAACTATCATTCTAACTTTAAAATATCGGATACAAGTAATATTATTTAACATTTAAATTTATGAAATGGAAAAGGTTAATGATTTAATAACAAAAATTAAATGCCATATTAGTTGTGTTGGTTGTGAATTTAAATAGCATATTTATTGATAAAGAAGGTTTGTAATCAGTAGAGTTAAAAAGGATTATTGATATCAGAAAGGGAATCAGCTTATGATATTCTTTATGCATCCTACTTCAAACAATACTCCATTAATATTTCAATTTTACCGAAAATTCTTGATAATACTTGATGTTATTAGGGTTATCCTCAAACAGATCTATGATATAATTTCTTTATGACTTCAAAATACCAATCTACAACCTATTTATCATAATTATTAGGGAAGGAAGCAAATACTAGATTTTTGAAATTTAATTATGAAACAGAGAGATTAATAATAGAGTTTAAAAAGAGAATATAACTTATTTGATTAGATATCATCCTATTTGATGACATCTCTTAAAAAGGGAGCATATAATTAAAATAATAATTGTAGCAGTTTCTTTATATTCTATTAATATAAAATAATCTTTTTTTGCCCTGCATCAAAAATTTTCCAAATTCTAAATATAATGATGCCTCTCAGGTTTCATAAGTTAAAGCAAATTTCAATAATTCCATAGCTACATTATTTTGCCATTGAATATACTTCTTAATATTTTATTTTAAAACTTTTTTCCATAACCATATTTTCATAATTCTATCATTTGCGAATTGTTTTATAGAAAGAAAAACTTTTTAAACTTTTAATATTTTTATTTGTTTTTGATGAGATTTAGATTTTAAATATTTATAATCATTCTAATTTTAATAATTATTTCTTTATATAATCCTTCTTATCGAATTCTTATTGAAATACACTTAAATAAAGTTTTTTTGCTTCAGATTTCTTTCTTAATTATAATATTTATCAGATTATATTAAAGGACTCTAAAGTATCTTCTAATATTCTTTTAATAAAGTTGTTGATTTACATACTTAGTGCAAAGCCTAAATCACTATTTATTTATTTTACCATTATATTTAGAATTAATTTAAACAGATTAGTCTAAAATCTTAATAGCTTCTTATTAAATTATTTTTTACTTCTAATTTACATAATAAATTCATAAAGCTGAATCTAAATACTAATTTTAGAATGTTAATTACCTTTGTTATTCCATCCCATAAAATTTTAGAGTTAATTTAAATAACTTTGTGATAAAACTCAAAAGATTCTTAAAATCTATTCAATTTCCTTAAAACTATTGATTAATTAAGTGAATTATAATGCAAATCCTTTAAAATAATTTTAATACTAAATTACCCTTATTATTCAATGTATAATCAATTAGCTTTGTCTAAGCATTCAATAACCTCTTAAAATCAGTTTAGATTTTTAACTAAGCTATGCTAAATTAATATTTTGACAATTAATATCATATTACCTTTATTATTGTTATAGGATTAATTTCGATAATCTTATCTTAACAATTAAATGAATGTATTTCCTAATTAAACTATTTTATTGAATCCTCAAATTTCATCAAACTTCTTTAAACTTACCCTCGTTAACTATTGAAAATTTAAATAGATAAAAATTTAATTTTTACTCTTGTCTATCTGAAATTTGATTTTATCTTAAAAAATAAATGATCTTCAGTTTCTTATAATTTAATTGATTCTACATTTCTATGATTTTATTAAATTCTTCAATTTTTGCTTTGTATTGATATTTTTAGTAATGATTTTATCATAGCTTTTTATCAAATCTGTGAGTATAGACTTGATAGTATAAAGAATGTTATTCAATTATGTTATTTAAACTAATTTTAGATAAACAACATTATCTATTCTATAATAAATAATAAAATCAATATGTATGCATTTTTTTCCTTTGAAAAGTACTGTTTAATTATATTTAAGATTAAAGACAAGTATTCCTTGTTTTAGAGCTAATAATTCATAAATAAGTAAATAAATATGAATGGTGTAATTTCCCCGTTCATTTAACGATAGAGGGAGGTGACATAAATAAATCAGGATCTTCTTTCCAACCTAATAGCACAGGCTTAGCCTCCTATCATTGTCTTGAATAAGACCCCGAAATGGCTCTCTAATTGAAGGAAAGGGTCCAAGACAAAGTGGGCAAGCCCTGCCTAGATATGTTTTCCTTTTTATTTTTTTCTTTCAGGTGTCAAAAGTTCTGTTATCATATTTGCTCTTGTTCTTCCGGTATTTAAGGATTGCCCGGTTCCCAGATGTTCTCCTGAATTCGTTCCATGTTGTCCTTCCTCATTCTCAAGTTTTAGAAAAATGGATGGGATCCATTAGCTATTAGAAAACCAAGAGTTATGAGATACTAATTTTCAACCTTCATCCCTTCTCCGTTTATAGAACATTGGTCCTGCTCTTGGCCTTGGATCCTGTTCACATTGGGATTCGAGGATTTTCAACGACACATATGATTTTACAACTCTGAAACTAAGGTGTGCTTTGGAAATCATTAAGTCAGTCTGTGCCCTTTCCAAGACACTATTAATAATAAATTAAACTCAATATTTTTTTTTCTCTGATTTAAATGATTTGAATGAGTGTTACTTAATCATTCCTAACAATATTAAATTGTATATTAGCAATCCTATGACCTAGATAAGTGAACTTAAAAATTTACAAATGAAATACTGCATTTTATATGAATATGGGTACATCATAAGCATATATATAATAACTTTATTTATATAAATAATTTAAAAGTATTTAAATAGAGTGAGATGTACATTTCAAAATTAATTTATAATAAATAAATTTTTATTGGATTTATCTGAATTAATTATAACTAATCATTTTAATAATTATGAAAAATTTGTTTTAAAAAACTAAAAACATGTACCAAACCTTTATTTAAGTTAAAAGTTTAATTTCATCAACCTCTTTTTCATATTAAAATTTTATTAAAAAAATAATTATAAAGGATTAAGAAAAATTTTAAGTCTCTTAAATTTAAGAACTTGAGGAAAAATTTCATTTTTAGACTGCAAGACTTTAATTTTTTTGTTATAAATTTAAGATGATTATAATATGTTAAATTAAATTCTTTTCCCTGACAACTTGTCATAGAGCTAAATAAATGCAATTTTTATGATATGGATTTCTGCTAATAATAATTATTATTTTTTTTTTGATATTTCTAGCATTTCTTAATTTCTTAGAAAGCATTGAAAGCAGAAAGAATTTAACAACTCATTAAAGATCAATAATATTTTAAGTTAACCTTTTAATTTGAAAAAAAATTATTCATTAACTAATCACCATATTGTTTAAAATTGATAATAATTTTCACTAATAACTATTTATTTATTAATTTTAATGTGTAATAATTGATTCTAATATTGATATCTTTTGAATTTTATTACGAATGAATGAGAAATAACTTTTACCATTAAAATATAAATTCAGTCTTATTAGAGTAACTGCTCAAGAGAAGCCGTAATTAAATATTTACCCCTTTTTCTTAGCTTCAAAAAATGGATTTTAAAGGATCATTTAATAATTGATGGTTGTTTTATTAATCAACCTGATTATTCAAAGATTTCGATAGTAAAGAATATTTAATTTAGCTTGATAAAAAAGGTAATTATGATTTTTTTTTTTTCTTTAAGTGAACTATAGGTACATAATCCTGTCTTTTTGAATTTTAAGGTAAAAAATGGAATCTTTTAATTTAGAAAAAAATTGTATATAAATATATTTTTTTTTTTAAATATCAAATTTTCTCCGCCAGAATTCAAGGTGTTGAATAATTATAAGAACATTTTTAATATTTTATTATTATGTTGGAAAAAGTTAATAATTATAACTAGGATAACAAATCATAAAATATGTTCTAAATTAGTATGATTATTAATTTATTAAATTAAGATGATTTTTGTAAAAAAATACTCTTATTATTTTATTATTTCAATATTGTTATTATTATTCTAATTATTTAAATTTTATAAATAATTTCAAATTCAATTACAATCCCTCTGTCACTATCTGCTATCCTTTTATTACTATAATAATACCACTTTAAAATCGAATATATTTCAATCATAAGAGAAATATAAATAATAGCTGTTAACAAAGAATAATAGCTTCCTTCATAATCCAATTTCATTTTATGTATCTCTTTCTATAAATTTTCATTAGTTTTTGTCTTTTAAATAAATTTAAAGAAAAAAAATGTATTTACTTCCATTTTTAATTCAATATTAGATAAAAATAATTATTAACCATAGATAATTTTATTTAAGACTTTAAAATAAATAACTTAGCACAGAACAACAAAAAAGAAATTTGATTGTTCAATTTGATCTCAATTAAAAAGAAATTTAATATTGATCATTTTTCAAAGTTTTATGTTGATAAATTATTGTATTAAATAATATTTCAGAATTTTCATTAAATTATATAATAATATAATTTTTATTCTCTTAATTGAGGAATTATTAAAAATATCCATATATAAAAAAAAATTATAAATCCATTCAAAAATGTTTCTCATGATAAATAATTAAATTATGAATTAAAAAAATTCACAAAGAAACCATTAATTTGGAAACCAAGTTAAGAATCACAAGCTCAATTAACAGAATGAGCGGATTAAGAATTATTAATCTAATACCATGATTGAATTTTCTAACAGATAACGACTGTATGATGATATCTACAATTTTGATCAAATTAAAAGTGAAAGTCTTAATTTTCTCTCTCGAGTAAAAGCATTGAGACAGAGTAAATTTAGGGAAGTGGTTGAATCAGCTAAATAAAAATTTGTTACATCACCAATTTATCTCAAAAATAGTATCATATAACTCTAAAAAAATTCAATTATAAACATGGTTGAATAACTGAGAAATCTAAAGAAAACTAATAATAATAAACTTCAAAATAATAAGAATCAGACCAAGAAATCTAAGTAATTTAATTTAAATGTTATTTTGGGATGTGCCATTCCTTTAATATGCTGTTTGGTAGTACTAATTGAAATAAATCAAATAGAAAGGGAGAATAACAAATGATTAAATATTTTATATCAAGTATTTTACTTGTAAATTTTTTTAAATTATTTATACTTAATTCTCATAGCTTTTATGTTGAAGATTTTAACAGCTGCTAAATAATAATTTTTTATTAATTTAAACTTATTTTAGGTCTAATAGATGAGCTTGATTTAGGAATTTAGGCAATTTCAATTATAAATTAATAACTAAGAGATATTTAAAATAAAATTCTAAATTAACAAAATTTCTATTAATTTTATTAATATGATTTGATAGATATGTATCTTGGGGAAAATATTTAATAATAAAAACAATAATGAGATAAGAATAAAAATCATCTGATTAAATTCAAAAATTTATTTGATGATAAAAATAGATAAAAATTATTGAATAATATTATGAATTAATGTTAAAGTTTAAAGGATCTATTTCTTAGAAGTAATGGGTTGGAGTTGGTCATATGTATAATAATTAAAATTGATGCTGATTAATTGTACAATTTGACAATTACTAAATAGTTCTATATAACAGTTATTAGTTGATGGATTAAGTGAGTATTTATATTTTATAGAATTCAACCTTTTAGAGCCATCAAAAATATCCTTAAATTTAGAAGCGATTAATGCATTATACTAAACATTTTTTGATATTAATATCTATCCTTACCAGTAGTTTTAAATACAAATATAATGAGTGATTTTTATGATTATTTATTAGTCTTGGATAATTTATCTCTTACTTATAAGGTAATGATTAATAATTTTATTTTAGATAATTTTGTTAATCAGTCTGGAGTAAATTTGACAAATCTGAATTTTATCAGAAATAGAGAATCTAGTTTGAATTGTTAGGATTGTAATATCAAACATCATAAAACTTTAAATAAATTAAACATATTTCTCTGCCTCAAAAAAATCTCCTTATATTACATAAAAAATATCTTAAAAATATGAATAATCTAAAATTTCTTAACAATTGCTTTGAATTACAGAGCTAAAATATCCTTTGTTACAGATTACCCATTGAAGCTTTGATTTAGGAATGAGGACACATTATAAACAATTAGAGTAATATTTCTCACAATTTATCATTGCAAGTGCAATGCTAAAATCAGTTTAAGATGATAGAGTACAAATACCGTTTAAATTGATAAAATGATATTAAATAACTTAAAATTTTTGATTATTATATTAAGCATTTTCCAATTTTAAAATCAATAAAAATCCTTTTTTGCAGCCGACATTTATTATTTAGTTAACTAAATTAAAACTTTCAAAATTTTTATATAAAGTACTCTTGAAGGAATATTCATCATTTTAGTATTCAAAACAATAAATGCAATTTTTTATTAGACACAATTTGCACTAAATAAAGGAGTACGACACATTTTTTTTATTAACCTCTCTAGATACTGTAATTTTATCAATTATACATTTACCATCTTCTAGTATAAATGAATCAGGGCATGAAATACTAAATAATAATAATATATATTATTTTTGACATCCAAAAGCAAATTTTATTAAGCATTCTTCACAATATCAATAAAAAGGAATAATTCTATAGATCATTTAAGATAGTTTGTATATCTAATTACAATGATGCTAACTTGATATCATTTCCATCAAAAAGTAATTAAATTGGATAACTCTACTAAAGTTTTTCTGTCTAATCTAATTAACTGATGTATAATTCATATTGGCATGATGGATATTGGCTAAAAGATATAGAATTTTATACACAATATAGACAAATTAATAAATCATTGAAGGACTATTTATATTATTTATAAATTACCATCTGTAGCGTTCATTATCTAATTCAAAATAACCATATAAACATTCAGTATTTATGAAAGGTTCTTAAATAAATTATAAATTAGTTTCTTTATAACATAGACAAATTTAATGATCAATAGTATTATAAGGACAACACATACTTTATGTTACGGTAAATAAATTCGCTTGATTTTTCTGACAAGATAGCCAATCTTCATTAGTTGGGCCATCACATTCTTCACAATTTGGATAGCGATTTTGCTCAAAAAAAGTTTCACACAGTTGAAAAAAAGGAAATTTCATATTTATTAAGATAAGTTATTTTATTTAAAAATTATTTCATACTATTTAATAATAACCTCTTCTATTACTTGTATAAATTATATTCAGATTTATCTTGCATCTCTAAATAATTAACTTTCAGTAAATTAAAATAGAAAGATTTGATCAAATTAAATACAAACCGCATATCTGATATTTANAAAATGATATTAAATAACTTAAAATTTTTGATTATTATATTAAGCATTTTCCAATTTTAAAATCAATAAAAATCCTTTTTTGCAGCCGACATTTATTATTTAGTTAACTAAATTAAAACTTTCAAAATTTTTATATAAAGTACTCTTGAAGGAATATTCATCATTTTAGTATTCAAAACAATAAATGCAATTTTTTATTAGACACAATTTGCACTAAATAAAGGAGTACGACACATTTTTTTTATTAACCTCTCTAGATACTGTAATTTTATCAATTATACATTTACCATCTTCTAGTATAAATGAATCAGGGCATGAAATACTAAATAATAATAATATATATTATTTTTGACATCCAAAAGCAAATTTTATTAAGCATTCTTCACAATATCAATAAAAAGGAATAATTCTATAGATCATTTAAGATAGTTTGTATATCTAATTACAATGATGCTAACTTGATATCATTTCCATCAAAAAGTAATTAAATTGGATAACTCTACTAAAGTTTTTCTGTCTAATCTAATTAACTGATGTATAATTCATATTGGCATGATGGATATTGGCTAAAAGATATAGAATTTTATACACAATATAGACAAATTAATAAATCATTGAAGGACTATTTATATTATTTATAAATTACCATCTGTAGCGTTCATTATCTAATTCAAAATAACCATATAAACATTCAGTATTTATGAAAGGTTCTTAAATAAATTATAAATTAGTTTCTTTATAACATAGACAAATTTAATGATCAATAGTATTATAAGGACAACACATACTTTATGTTACGGTAAATAAATTCGCTTGATTTTTCTGACAAGATAGCCAATCTTCATTAGTTGGGCCATCACATTCTTCACAATTTGGATAGCGATTTTGCTCAAAAAAAGTTTCACACAGTTGAAAAAAAGGAAATTTCATATTTATTAAGATAAGTTATTTTATTTAAAAATTATTTCATACTATTTAATAATAACCTCTTCTATTACTTGTATAAATTATATTCAGATTTATCTTGCATCTCTAAATAATTAACTTTCAGTAAATTAAAATAGAAAGATTTGATCAAATTAAATACAAACCGCATATCTGATATTTATTTATTGAATAAGGATTATTATCACATTAAAGATCAGTAATTGGTCAATCTATTTATTTTCGATATCAAGTTATAGAATAGAAAATGAAATATCACAAAACTTAATATATGTATATAATCAATTAATTTATATCTGATAGGATGACTTGTTAAGATTATTTAGCTCCTATCATATAAATTTTCTAAATAAAATTATAATTTATTCAATTATCATAATTAATTTCTTACACTATCTCATTACTCCAAAAATCCATTTCCACCGATCTATCGACTTTTTTTCCTTTTTCATTATAATCACCAACAAAAATTCTTTGTGATAATTAATATTCCTTTCCAAAATTCTAGCCTAACTCAACCCATTTTCCTATTTTTTTTGTACATCCATCTTATTCAGTATATTATCCTCCTCCTCTTAATTAATTAAGATTAAATTTACATTTATTTAAACTCATCACTTTCTCTATACATTATATCCCAATTACCCATTTTTTTACCATTCTAATTATATTTTCCTTAATAAGTAACTTATGAATCTTTTTCAAATCCATCCCACTGCTCAATCCAAATCCCTTTCTTTATTGATCCTCCTTCCTACTAATCATATGATCCTCCACCACTAAGCTAAATCAATTTATTACATTATTTAACCATTGTACCCAATATTCCAGATACCTACTTTTTTCCCATCTTTATTATATTCACCATAATAAGTGATTTCCCTTGAATATGCATATTTCTCCCACTATTCAATCCATTTTCCAATCTTTTTTATGCTTCCCTCATTCTCATCATATTATCCCCCACCAGTAAAATTAATATACATTAAATTAACATTTTTTTAAATTCATCATCTTCTCTATATAATATATTCCAAATACCAACTTTTTAAACTTTCTTATTTTAATTACCATTATAAATGATTTATGAGCTATAACAAAATAAGTCCCCTAACTCTATCCAAATTCCGGTCTTTGTAAAAATATCTTCAAAATCAAAATATAATCCTCTACCACTAAAATATAAATTTCTAATTTTTACATTTTTTAATAATCTTTTTCCCACTAATACATTATATCCCATCTACCAATTTTGGTACCGTCATCATTATATTCTCCAATATAAATGATTTAAGAATCAAAATAGAATCCATCACTCAATTCAATCCACTTTCCAATCTTTCTTTCGTATTGTTCTTATTCATCATATTATCCACCACCACTTTAGTTATTTAACTAATTTACATTTTGTTTCCTTTGTACTGGATGTCCCACCTACCAATTTTTTTACCTTTCTTATTATAATTGATTATATGCATTTATTTATTTTCTTCTTCATCCATAAAAAACAAATTCCATGTACCAATTTTTTAACCAATCTTATTATATTCACCACTCTAAGTGATCTAAGAAAAATATCCAAAATTGTCCGACTCCTCAATCCATTTCCCTATTTTTATTGAGCATCCCTTTTACTCTTCATATAATCCTCCACCCCTAATAAATCTCTAAATATTTTACAGTTTATTTTTACTTCCTCCCCAATTCCAATAAATATTCCATCTACCAATTTTTTAGCCCTATTAATTATATTCACCATCATAAATGAACCTAGGAATAATAAGCAAAATTTTAAGATTCCTAAATCCATTTTCCTAACTTACTTGATTTTCCTTCTTACTCATGATAAAATCCACATCCTCTAATATAATAAATTATTATTAAATTTATTCAATTATTTAATTTTTGTAATTATTTAAATATCAATTTCCCATCTGCCTACCTTTTTGCCGTTCTCATTAAATTTGCCACTATAAGTGACTTATGAATACCTCCAAAACCCATCACTTAATTCAACCCATTTTCCAGTTTTTTAACTTCTACTATTGTATTTACCACCTCCACTAATTTGCTTAATCATAAACTATTACATTTCTGAATCATCATAAATATACTTCCAAATTCCTACTTTCTAATCATTTATGTATTTCCCAATTTCATACACTTAAGCTTCGCTGAAAATATTATTATAATTACCTCCAATAATTCTGAATTATTTCCTTCCATAATCCTTCTTTTTTTCCCTCGTAGTACTTACCTCCTACATCATTTAAGATTTCTCCTTTTCAGGTGGCTATCCAATTACTTTCCTTTTAATTTTATTTTCCATAGTTTCCTGACCGTTACAGATGCTATATTTATTCTAAATTTTTTAACAAAAGTAAACGATCAATAGGTTCTTTTCTTAAATCACTATTAAATTCAATAATTTAAATTATTACATTCTCACAATCTACCCATCTTTTGTGTAAATTATTTAATTATCATTTGAAACGTGAATAAACAATTTAATTTTTATAGCTTCAGGTATATTGAATCCATAATGCCAAATGATTCCCTCTTATTCTAAAATTCTTTCCTACGATAGCTTTACCTCCTAATTTTAACTATAACTGAAAAAATAATTAAAAAAATACTGTTGCTCAAATTTAGACAAAATCTCTTTGATTTCCTATTTAAATATTTTATTTAAACCATTAATGTTTTTTTAAAAAAAATTCTTGGCTTTTTCTAGTTGCATCGCAAAATAGTTATTTTGAATATACCATTCTCTAAAAGTTTTTCCTTCTAATATTTAAGCTATATAATCCCAATCAGTTTAAGAAGATTCTAATAAAGTATCCTAATAGTTATTGAGTTTAATTTATAATTAATCTTCTTTTTAAAGCCGATTTGAAATATATCCAATGCATTCCTTTAAATCTATCTGTATATTCTTCATCATTTATTCAATTTCAAAAAGTAAGATTGTGAAACTGATTCTTAATTATACTAATTTGAATTAATCAATGATTTCCTTTTTCAGTGTCTAATAGTACTCATCAATCTAAAGAAAATATTTAAATTCCACCCCATGTTTAGATTAGCATTAAATACATAGTTTTCTTTTACATTTATGTGGAGCCAGGCATATTAGTGTTATAGACATTTATTGATGAACAGAACAAAAACTTATTTCGAATTAAAATATTTATAATCAATTTGAATCTATACATAGCATTACCTGATGATAAAGTCTGTTATTAATGTATTGGCTTTAAAAAAGTCTTATGATTTATATAATTTTCAATGGAATCATAATCATTAAAAGATTGAATCATCAATGTAAATGATATTAAGAATTTAAAAATCTTTTTTTATCTTTTATTTTTACCATCAATTTTTAATCTCTTTGATTTGTATAACAACCTTATTTATTAATTAATATTTATAATTTTCATTGTGGTATAGAGCTGCTCTTTAGAATAAGACTTTTTTCTCTGTTCATGTATTAGTTATAAGTTTGTAAATATTGGGCTTAAAATATCTAAACTTTGCATTGTTAGAGGTAAAAAATAATTTCTAGTAAAAAGTGTGTGTTCATCTGGAATAAAAATCAAAAAAACAATATATAATTTCGTGCTTTCTCTAATGAAAAAATTTTTTTTAATTATTGTTTTCCAATTTTCTTGGCAAGTTTACAAGATATTCAAGGAATGTGCAGATAAATCTTAAATATCTAATAAAAAAGTTTCTGACAAACTTCCATGCAGAATATAACGGACCCTGAGATAACTGCCATTTCTATCTAATTGATCTTCACTGATGAAAATATTAGAAATGAGTTCACGTAGCATAAAGTTAACATATTAATCATGTGTGCCATAAATTGAGCAATTTATAATGCAACATTTTATACATTTATAATAAACCAGGATAGTTTAGTAAAGATAAGATATCAGTCTAAACAACTTTTAAGAAAAAAATCCATAAAAAAGGGATCAAGGAATAATAATATTATTTTCCGAGTTAAAGGCAATGTTGAATTTATTTTCTAAGAATAAAACTCTTACCTATTACATTAGCTTATAGTAAAATTAAAAATAAATAAAATATCAAATTATTTTAAAACTATGTTTTGTGATAAAAGAAAAAGTATTGTTCTAATGGGTAGATCAGATAAGAATATCAATGAAATTAGGCAATATTTTTTTTCCATACTTAAATTTATCTAAAATTAATTGAATTAAAATTTATTTNAACTATTTTAGTATCTGGTAGCTATGATTAGTCAATATGTTTATGGGATGTTAAGACTGGATAATAAAAAGCCAAATTAGATGGTCATACTAATTGTATAAATTCAGTATGCTTCTCACCAGATGGAACTACTTTAACATCTGGAAGTGGTGATAACTCAATCCGATTATGGGATGTTAAGAATGGATAATAAAAAGCCTAATTAGATAGTTATAATGAATATGTCTTATCTGTATGCTTCTCACCCGACGGAACTATTTTAGCGTGTGGAAGTGGTGATGACTTTGGAAGCTTAGATTGTTCAATCATATTATGGGATGTTGAAACAGGATAATAAAAAGCCTAGTTAGATGGTCATAGTTATACTGTCTGCTCTTTATGTTTCTCACCAGATGGAACTATTTTAGCATCTGGTAGTTGGGATAACTCTATCCGATTATGGGATGTTAAGACTGAGTAATAAAAAGCTAAATTTGATGGTCATAGTCGTGAAGTCAATTCAGTATAATTCTCACCAGATGGAACTACTTTAGCATCTGGAAGCGGTGATAATTCAATTCGATTATGGGATGTTAAGACTGGATAATAAAAAGTCTAATTAGATGGTCATAGTAATTCTGTCCATTCAGTATGCTTCTCACCAGATGGAAATACTTTAGCATCTGGTAGTTGGGATAACTCAATTCGATTATGGGATGTTAAGACAGGATAATAAAAAGCTAAATTGAATGGTCATTGCGATCCTGTCTCATAAGTGTGTTTCTCACCAGATGGAACTATTTTAGTATCTGGTAGCTATGATTAGTCAATATGTTTATGGGATGTTAAGACTGGATAATAAAAAGCCAAATTAGATGGTCATACTAATTGTATAAATTCAGTATGCTTCTCACCAGATGGAACTACTTTAACATCTGGAAGTGGTGATAACTCAATCCGATTATGGGATGTTAAGAATGGATAATAAAAAGCCTAATTAGATAGTTATAATGAATATGTCTTATCTGTATGCTTCTCACCCGACGGAACTATTTTAGCGTGTGGAAGTGGTGATGACTTTGGAAGCTTAGATTGTTCAATCATATTATGGGATGTTGAAACAGGATAATAAAAAGCCTAGTTAGATGGTCATAGTTATACTGTCTGCTCTTTATGTTTCTCACCAGATGGAACTATTTTAGCATCTGGTAGTTGGGATAACTCTATCCGATTATGGGATGTTAAGACTGAGTAATAAAAAGCTAAATTTGATGGTCATAGTCGTGAAGTCAATTCAGTATAATTCTCACCAGATGGAACTACTTTAGCATCTGGAAGCGGTGATAATTCAATTCGATTATGGGATGTTAAGACTGGATAATAAAAAGTCTAATTAGATGGTCATAGTAATTCTGTCCATTCAGTATGCTTCTCACCAGATGGAAATACTTTAGCATCTGGTAGTTGGGATAACTCAATTCGATTATGGGATGTTAAGACAGGATAATAAAAAGCTAAATTGAATGGTCATTGCGATCCTGTCTCATAAGTGTGTTTCTCACCAGATGGAACTATTTTAGTATCTGGTAGCTATGATTAGTCAATATGTTTATGGGATGTTAAGACTGGATAATAAAAAGCCAAATTAGATGGTCATACTAATTGTATAAATTCAGTATGCTTCTCACCAGATGGAACTACTTTAACATCTGGAAGTGGTGATAACTCAATCCGATTATGGGATGTTAAGAATGGATAATAAAAAGCCTAATTAGATAGTTATAATGAATATGTCTTATCTGTATGCTTCTCACCCGACGGAACTATTTTAGCGTGTGGAAGTGGTGATGACTTTGGAAGCTTAGATTGTTCAATCATATTATGGGATGTTGAAACAGGATAATAAAAAGCCTAGTTAGATGGTCATAGTTATACTGTCTGCTCTTTATGTTTCTCACCAGATGGAACTATTTTAGCATCTGGTAGTTGGGATAACTCTATCCGATTATGGGATGTTAAGACTGAGTAATAAAAAGCTAAATTTGATGGTCATAGTCGTGAAGTCAATTCAGTATAATTCTCACCAGATGGAACTACTTTAGCATCTGGAAGCGGTGATAATTCAATTCGATTATGGGATGTTAAGACTGGATAATAAAAAGTCTAATTAGATGGTCATAGTAATTCTGTCCATTCAGTATGCTTCTCACCAGATGGAAATACTTTAGCATCTGGTAGTTGGGATAACTCAATTCGATTATGGGATGTTAAGACAGGATAATAAAAAGCTAAATTGAATGGTCATTGCGATCCTGTCTCATAAGTGTGTTTCTCACCAGATGGAACTATTTTAGTATCTGGTAGCTATGATTAGTCAATATGTTTATGGGATGTTAAGACTGGATAATAAAAAGCCAAATTAGATGGTCATACTAATTGTATAAATTCAGTATGCTTCTCACCAGATGGAACTACTTTAACATCTGGAAGTGGTGATAACTCAATCCGATTATGGGATGTTAAGAATGGATAATAAAAAGCCTAATTAGATAGTTATAATGAATATGTCTTATCTGTATGCTTCTCACCCGACGGAACTATTTTAGCGTGTGGAAGTGGTGATGACTTTGGAAGCTTAGATTGTTCAATCATATTATGGGATGTTGAAACAGGATAATAAAAAGCCTAGTTAGATGGTCATAGTTATACTGTCTGCTCTTTATGTTTCTCACCAGATGGAACTATTTTAGCATCTGGTAGTTGGGATAACTCTATCCGATTATGGGATGTTAAGACTGAGTAATAAAAAGCTAAATTTGATGGTCATAGTCGTGAAGTCAATTCAGTATAATTCTCACCAGATGGAACTACTTTAGCATCTGGAAGCGGTGATAATTCAATTCGATTATGGGATGTTAAGACTGGATAATAAAAAGTCTAATTAGATGGTCATAGTAATTCTGTCCATTCAGTATGCTTCTCACCAGATGGAAATACTTTAGCATCTGGTAGTTGGGATAACTCAATTCGATTATGGGATGTTAAGACAGGATAATAAAAAGCTAAATTGAATGGTCATTGCGATCCTGTCTCATAAGTGTGTTTCTCACCAGATGGAACTATTTTAGTATCTGGTAGCTATGATTAGTCAATATGTTTATGGGATGTTAAGACTGGATAATAAAAAGCCAAATTAGATGGTCATACTAATTGTATAAATTCAGTATGCTTCTCACCAGATGGAACTACTTTAACATCTGGAAGTGGTGATAACTCAATCCGATTATGGGATGTTAAGAATGGATAATAAAAAGCCTAATTAGATAGTTATAATGAATATGTCTTATCTGTATGCTTCTCACCCGACGGAACTATTTTAGCGTGTGGAAGTGGTGATGACTTTGGAAGCTTAGATTGTTCAATCATATTATGGGATGTTGAAACAGGATAATAAAAAGCCTAGTTAGATGGTCATAGTTATACTGTCTGCTCTTTATGTTTCTCACCAGATGGAACTATTTTAGCATCTGGTAGTTGGGATAACTCTATCCGATTATGGGATGTTAAGACTGAGTAATAAAAAGCTAAATTTGATGGTCATAGTCGTGAAGTCAATTCAGTATAATTCTCACCAGATGGAACTACTTTAGCATCTGGAAGCGGTGATAATTCAATTCGATTATGGGATGTTAAGACTGGATAATAAAAAGTCTAATTAGATGGTCATAGTAATTCTGTCCATTCAGTATGCTTCTCACCAGATGGAAATACTTTAGCATCTGGTAGTTGGGATAACTCAATTCGATTATGGGATGTTAAGACAGGATAATAAAAAGCTAAATTGAATGGTCATTGCGATCCTGTCTCATAAGTGTGTTTCTCACCAGATGGAACTATTTTAGTATCTGGTAGCTATGATTAGTCAATATGTTTATGGGATGTTAAGACTGGATAATAAAAAGCCAAATTAGATGGTCATACTAATTGTATAAATTCAGTATGCTTCTCACCAGATGGAACTACTTTAACATCTGGAAGTGGTGATAACTCAATCCGATTATGGGATGTTAAGAATGGATAATAAAAAGCCTAATTAGATAGTTATAATGAATATGTCTTATCTGTATGCTTCTCACCCGACGGAACTATTTTAGCGTGTGGAAGTGGTGATGACTTTGGAAGCTTAGATTGTTCAATCATATTATGGGATGTTGAAACAGGATAATAAAAAGCCTAGTTAGATGGTCATAGTTATACTGTCTGCTCTTTATGTTTCTCACCAGATGGAACTATTTTAGCATCTGGTAGTTGGGATAACTCTATCCGATTATGGGATGTTAAGACTGAGTAATAAAAAGCTAAATTTGATGGTCATAGTCGTGAAGTCAATTCAGTATAATTCTCACCAGATGGAACTACTTTAGCATCTGGAAGCGGTGATAATTCAATTCGATTATGGGATGTTAAGACTGGATAATAAAAAGTCTAATTAGATGGTCATAGTAATTCTGTCCATTCAGTATGCTTCTCACCAGATGGAAATACTTTAGCATCTGGTAGTTGGGATAACTCAATTCGATTATGGGATGTTAAGACAGGATAATAAAAAGCTAAATTGAATGGTCATTGCGATCCTGTCTCATAAGTGTGTTTCTCACCAGATGGAACTATTTTAGTATCTGGTAGCTATGATTAGTCAATATGTTTATGGGATGTTAAGACTGGATAATAAAAAGCCAAATTAGATGGTCATACTAATTGTATAAATTCAGTATGCTTCTCACCAGATGGAACTACTTTAACATCTGGAAGTGGTGATAACTCAATCCGATTATGGGATGTTAAGAATGGATAATAAAAAGCCTAATTAGATAGTTATAATGAATATGTCTTATCTGTATGCTTCTCACCCGACGGAACTATTTTAGCGTGTGGAAGTGGTGATGACTTTGGAAGCTTAGATTGTTCAATCATATTATGGGATGTTGAAACAGGATAATAAAAAGCCTAGTTAGATGGTCATAGTTATACTGTCTGCTCTTTATGTTTCTCACCAGATGGAACTATTTTAGCATCTGGTAGTTGGGATAACTCTATCCGATTATGGGATGTTAAGACTGAGTAATAAAAAGCTAAATTTGATGGTCATAGTCGTGAAGTCAATTCAGTATAATTCTCACCAGATGGAACTACTTTAGCATCTGGAAGCGGTGATAATTCAATTCGATTATGGGATGTTAAGACTGGATAATAAAAAGTCTAATTAGATGGTCATAGTAATTCTGTCCATTCAGTATGCTTCTCACCAGATGGAAATACTTTAGCATCTGGTAGTTGGGATAACTCAATTCGATTATGGGATGTTAAGACAGGATAATAAAAAGCTAAATTGAATGGTCATTGCGATCCTGTCTCATAAGTGTGTTTCTCACCAGATGGAACTATTTTAGTATCTGGTAGCTATGATTAGTCAATATGTTTATGGGATGTTAAGACTGGATAATAAAAAGCCAAATTAGATGGTCATACTAATTGTATAAATTCAGTATGCTTCTCACCAGATGGAACTACTTTAACATCTGGAAGTGGTGATAACTCAATCCGATTATGGGATGTTAAGAATGGATAATAAAAAGCCTAATTAGATAGTTATAATGAATATGTCTTATCTGTATGCTTCTCACCCGACGGAACTATTTTAGCGTGTGGAAGTGGTGATGACTTTGGAAGCTTAGATTGTTCAATCATATTATGGGATGTTGAAACAGGATAATAAAAAGCCTAGTTAGATGGTCATAGTTATACTGTCTGCTCTTTATGTTTCTCACCAGATGGAACTATTTTAGCATCTGGTAGTTGGGATAACTCTATCCGATTATGGGATGTTAAGACTGAGTAATAAAAAGCTAAATTTGATGGTCATAGTCGTGAAGTCAATTCAGTATAATTCTCACCAGATGGAACTACTTTAGCATCTGGAAGCGGTGATAATTCAATTCGATTATGGGATGTTAAGACTGGATAATAAAAAGTCTAATTAGATGGTCATAGTAATTCTGTCCATTCAGTATGCTTCTCACCAGATGGAAATACTTTAGCATCTGGTAGTTGGGATAACTCAATTCGATTATGGGATGTTAAGACAGGATAATAAAAAGCTAAATTGAATGGTCATTGCGATCCTGTCTCATAAGTGTGTTTCTCACCAGATGGAACTATTTTAGTATCTGGTAGCTATGATTAGTCAATATGTTTATGGGATGTTAAGACTGGATAATAAAAAGCCAAATTAGATGGTCATACTAATTGTATAAATTCAGTATGCTTCTCACCAGATGGAACTACTTTAACATCTGGAAGTGGTGATAACTCAATCCGATTATGGGATGTTAAGAATGGATAATAAAAAGCCTAATTAGATAGTTATAATGAATATGTCTTATCTGTATGCTTCTCACCCGACGGAACTATTTTAGCGTGTGGAAGTGGTGATGACTTTGGAAGCTTAGATTGTTCAATCATATTATGGGATGTTGAAACAGGATAATAAAAAGCCTAGTTAGATGGTCATAGTTATACTGTCTGCTCTTTATGTTTCTCACCAGATGGAACTATTTTAGCATCTGGTAGTTGGGATAACTCTATCCGATTATGGGATGTTAAGACTGAGTAATAAAAAGCTAAATTTGATGGTCATAGTCGTGAAGTCAATTCAGTATAATTCTCACCAGATGGAACTACTTTAGCATCTGGAAGCGGTGATAATTCAATTCGATTATGGGATGTTAAGACTGGATAATAAAAAGTCTAATTAGATGGTCATAGTAATTCTGTCCATTCAGTATGCTTCTCACCAGATGGAAATACTTTAGCATCTGGTAGTTGGGATAACTCAATTCGATTATGGGATGTTAAGACAGGATAATAAAAAGCTAAATTGAATGGTCATTGCGATCCTGTCTCATAAGTGTGTTTCTCACCAGATGGAACTATTTTAGTATCTGGTAGCTATGATTAGTCAATATGTTTATGGGATGTTAAGACTGGATAATAAAAAGCCAAATTAGATGGTCATACTAATTGTATAAATTCAGTATGCTTCTCACCAGATGGAACTACTTTAACATCTGGAAGTGGTGATAACTCAATCCGATTATGGGATGTTAAGAATGGATAATAAAAAGCCTAATTAGATAGTTATAATGAATATGTCTTATCTGTATGCTTCTCACCCGACGGAACTATTTTAGCGTGTGGAAGTGGTGATGACTTTGGAAGCTTAGATTGTTCAATCATATTATGGGATGTTGAAACAGGATAATAAAAAGCCTAGTTAGATGGTCATAGTTATACTGTCTGCTCTTTATGTTTCTCACCAGATGGAACTATTTTAGCATCTGGTAGTTGGGATAACTCTATCCGATTATGGGATGTTAAGACTGAGTAATAAAAAGCTAAATTTGATGGTCATAGTCGTGAAGTCAATTCAGTATAATTCTCACCAGATGGAACTACTTTAGCATCTGGAAGCGGTGATAATTCAATTCGATTATGGGATGTTAAGACTGGATAATAAAAAGTCTAATTAGATGGTCATAGTAATTCTGTCCATTCAGTATGCTTCTCACCAGATGGAAATACTTTAGCATCTGGTAGTTGGGATAACTCAATTCGATTATGGGATGTTAAGACAGGATAATAAAAAGCTAAATTGAATGGTCATTGCGATCCTGTCTCATAAGTGTGTTTCTCACCAGATGGAACTATTTTAGTATCTGGTAGCTATGATTAGTCAATATGTTTATGGGATGTTAAGACTGGATAATAAAAAGCCAAATTAGATGGTCATACTAATTGTATAAATTCAGTATGCTTCTCACCAGATGGAACTACTTTAACATCTGGAAGTGGTGATAACTCAATCCGATTATGGGATGTTAAGAATGGATAATAAAAAGCCTAATTAGATAGTTATAATGAATATGTCTTATCTGTATGCTTCTCACCCGACGGAACTATTTTAGCGTGTGGAAGTGGTGATGACTTTGGAAGCTTAGATTGTTCAATCATATTATGGGATGTTGAAACAGGATAATAAAAAGCCTAGTTAGATGGTCATAGTTATACTGTCTGCTCTTTATGTTTCTCACCAGATGGAACTATTTTAGCATCTGGTAGTTGGGATAACTCTATCCGATTATGGGATGTTAAGACTGAGTAATAAAAAGCTAAATTTGATGGTCATAGTCGTGAAGTCAATTCAGTATAATTCTCACCAGATGGAACTACTTTAGCATCTGGAAGCGGTGATAATTCAATTCGATTATGGGATGTTAAGACTGGATAATAAAAAGTCTAATTAGATGGTCATAGTAATTCTGTCCATTCAGTATGCTTCTCACCAGATGGAAATACTTTAGCATCTGGTAGTTGGGATAACTCAATTCGATTATGGGATGTTAAGACAGGATAATAAAAAGCTAAATTGAATGGTCATTGCGATCCTGTCTCATAAGTGTGTTTCTCACCAGATGGAACTATTTTAGTATCTGGTAGCTATGATTAGTCAATATGTTTATGGGATGTTAAGACTGGATAATAAAAAGCCAAATTAGATGGTCATACTAATTGTATAAATTCAGTATGCTTCTCACCAGATGGAACTACTTTAACATCTGGAAGTGGTGATAACTCAATCCGATTATGGGATGTTAAGAATGGATAATAAAAAGCCTAATTAGATAGTTATAATGAATATGTCTTATCTGTATGCTTCTCACCCGACGGAACTATTTTAGCGTGTGGAAGTGGTGATGACTTTGGAAGCTTAGATTGTTCAATCATATTATGGGATGTTGAAACAGGATAATAAAAAGCCTAGTTAGATGGTCATAGTTATACTGTCTGCTCTTTATGTTTCTCACCAGATGGAACTATTTTAGCATCTGGTAGTTGGGATAACTCTATCCGATTATGGGATGTTAAGACTGAGTAATAAAAAGCTAAATTTGATGGTCATAGTCGTGAAGTCAATTCAGTATAATTCTCACCAGATGGAACTACTTTAGCATCTGGAAGCGGTGATAATTCAATTCGATTATGGGATGTTAAGACTGGATAATAAAAAGTCTAATTAGATGGTCATAGTAATTCTGTCCATTCAGTATGCTTCTCACCAGATGGAAATACTTTAGCATCTGGTAGTTGGGATAACTCAATTCGATTATGGGATGTTAAGACAGGATAATAAAAAGCTAAATTGAATGGTCATTGCGATCCTGTCTCATAAGTGTGTTTCTCACCAGATGGAACTATTTTAGTATCTGGTAGCTATGATTAGTCAATATGTTTATGGGATGTTAAGACTGGATAATAAAAAGCCAAATTAGATGGTCATACTAATTGTATAAATTCAGTATGCTTCTCACCAGATGGAACTACTTTAACATCTGGAAGTGGTGATAACTCAATCCGATTATGGGATGTTAAGAATGGATAATAAAAAGCCTAATTAGATAGTTATAATGAATATGTCTTATCTGTATGCTTCTCACCCGACGGAACTATTTTAGCGTGTGGAAGTGGTGATGACTTTGGAAGCTTAGATTGTTCAATCATATTATGGGATGTTGAAACAGGATAATAAAAAGCCTAGTTAGATGGTCATAGTTATACTGTCTGCTCTTTATGTTTCTCACCAGATGGAACTATTTTAGCATCTGGTAGTTGGGATAACTCTATCCGATTATGGGATGTTAAGACTGAGTAATAAAAAGCTAAATTTGATGGTCANATATTCCTTTCAATTTGAATACCATATTTTTTATTTCTCAGAATAATAACAGATATTTTCTGTTTTAGGATCAATAAAAAACTATTGCAATCATTAATGTTATAGTATTTCCATTTGAATGTATTTTTCAACCTTATATTGATGCTTTTTATGATAGAAGTTCTTATAGGTAAATTTATTTTATTTAAGTCAATATGAAATATTAGTATTTAAAGTTCATATAATGATAAGATCTTAATTTTCTAAAATTTTGGCTTACTGAAGTATTTTCATGTTTTCTAAAATTTTCTAATAAGGAAACACCTTCAAATTTATTTTACTTTGAAAATATTTTACTTTATGTAGTCTGATTTTTTCTTTATAGTTTAAAAAGTAAACAAAATAATAATTATTTTATATAAAAATAATTTGAACTTCTTAATCCTCTTATTATATTTATTTTCAAGAAAAAGTACGTTAACTGCATTAAAAAAATTTAGAAAATTGCTTGGCATGCTTTAATCGCAAAAATACTAATTCAGTCCATTTTTTACTTAATTAAAAAGCTTAAATTGTCATTTAATAGATGAACTACTTAATTCTGCAGGGTTCCAAGAGATCCTCAAAATTTTTAAATTAAGTTAGAATATTCATAGTGTAAAAATTTAAATACTTTGGGGATACGATTTACAATAAATATGAAAAGAAAGCTAGAGCATTATTGTTTTTTGAAATTTATTGGATGCTAAATTTGCTATTTTGATAATTTTTTTTTTCTTCAATGAATTTGATGACTAATATTCATCTTAACAATTATTGTTAAACTGTAAATTATTTAGTGGGTCAAAAAGAATAAATACTTAGAATTAAAGAAGCATACGTTTATTAATATTATCTCTCTCTAATTTATGTACATAATAACCAATCAAAAATTAATATTCTACTGATTCTTACACATCTTTTATTTACATATAATAAATTTGTTAAAATTATATTCTTGTTTACTAAACCTGATATGTCCTATCTTTACATTTTATTAATAAATCTAAATCTTTTTCCCACTCTAAATTCCTAATTTAAAAATTAATACAGAAAATCTTACTTAGAATGTATGAATAAGGTATAAAAATAAACAAAATTCAAACTCAAGAGGGTGAAAATATTTAAAAAGTGTATATCTTCAAAAGAATTGGATTTATATATATTCATAAAATTAAATCATTTATTTATAATTATCTATTTAAATTGATGAATTTTGAGTTAAAGTAGAAACATAGAGATTTGCTTAAATATATTGTTTAGTTTCAAATTTACAATTCCAAAAATTTTTGCTAAACTTTCTATTTTTATTTTTTTGAAATATTCTTTTATCAATTGTTCTAAAGGTGTGAGTTTATTAATATTATAACTCAATTTGAAGAGAAAGCCTAATAATAAGATTGTATAGATATATTTTAAATAAATATTTGTCCTAGTAGTATTAAATTAATTATATTTTGTGACTCTAGGAGTTTCGAAATCTTCATAATTTTACTTTCATATACCATTTTCTTTCTTTTTATCAAATTCTATTGCTAAAATATTTAATATTAGCATTTTTTTCTGCAATTAATCCATAATCACTAAATTTTTTCACCAAAGATTTTTTTTTGGATTTCTCCAAAAAATATGATTCAACTCAATTGTAATCTAGATTTCTATCTCTAATTATATTTTATTCAAATCTTTCTAAGAATTATAAATATTGAAATTATAGTTATAATAATAATTCCATTTCAAAAAAGTTGATTCTGTTCTAATAAAACCAATTAATCCAGTATTCCATTTAAAAGAAATGGGATGAACTGTTGTATGCCATTTGATTATCAGAGGACCTTAGTTAAATCTTTTTTCCCTAAAATATTTATTTCTATTTTCCTTCATTTTTGTATGGAAAATTTTTGTTTCATCGCTCTCAACTTATCATATATCATTTTCTGAGGTTTGATTGTTTACATAAACAAAATAGCAAATATAAAAACTTAAATATTATTCTCTTTCTTGTAAATAAAGAACTTTAACCTAATAAGAAATAGCAAATGGTTAACTTTTACTATTAATAAAATTAATAAAAATGGGAACTTGTTATTCTAATAAATAAAAGTAACCAAGTAACTAATTATGTATTATCTAATTACAATTAGAGATGAACAATAGATGATTAACAACATTTCTATGGAATAGTCAATTTAGTTTGAAGATTAGGAATGTCTGTTATTTGACTCTTTTGCAAAAAGATGGTTAAAAAAGAAATACTAAATAGAAATTGTTAATAAATAAGAGATCATATACATTGTTGATGGATAAACAGCTAGGTTGTAAATTTAAAAAAAATTTCAATAGAAAGGAAAAGTTTTTATCTTTGAAGCCGGATGTTTTCGATAATTTAGAATAAATCAAATATCTTGAATAGGTTGGGAAATATGGAAAGAATTAACAGAAGATTGCTAAATGGGAACTTCATTGGAATGGATAAATTCTTTAAAAAGTCGGAGGGTATTACTCAGAAAATGGCCAAAAAATCGGTTTATGGAAAGAATTGATTAAGAATTATTGTAGGTAAACTGCTAATTTTAAAATTTCAATAGTCAGGTTCATGTCTTTGAAGAAGGCGAATATATTGATGACACAAAAATAGGTAGATGGAAATATATTTATTAAAATAAAGCAATGTAGTTTTTTAATTTAATTAGTGGTTTTGGATCTTATCAAAGAGGTTAGAAAAAGGTAGGGAGATGGGTAGAATTATGGGAAAGTTTTTGGGATGGAGCTTTAATCACTTATAATGGTGAATATAATTTAAAAGGTATAAAGGTAGGTAAATGGGAAATTAATTTTGATAGATGGGGAGATGGAAAATACAAATTAATGTAAATTATGAAAATTATTGTAATAATATTGTAGTGGTTGTGGATAATATGATTAATAAGAGATTTAACAAAAGGTTGGGAGATGGATAGAATTGTGGGAGGGCTTTTGGTATAATGCATAAGTCACTTATAATGGTAAATATAATAGAAAGGGTATAAAGGTTGGTAGGTGGGATATAAATTTTGATAAATGGGGAGATGGAAAATATCATTATATGTAAATATTTATTAAGTATAGCAATGATATATTAGTGGTGGTGGGTCATATGATTAAGAGGGAATTAAAATTGGTAAGTGGGTTGAGTTGGATTAAGGATTCGGATATAACAAATAAATCACTTTTAATGGTGAATATAATATGAAGAGCCTAAAAGAAGGTATATGGAATATTATAGCTTGGGAAAAATATATGTAATTAAAAGTAGATTAATGATATGTTAGTGGTGGTGGATCATATGATTAAGAGGGAATCAAAATTGGTAAGTGGATTGAGTTTGGTGAAAAGTTTGAGGAACATAAATATGTGATATATAATGGTGAATATAATATGAAGGGTATGAAGGTAGGTAGTTGGGATATTAAGTATTGTGATCTAGATGGAGATGGAAAATAAAAAGAAATGTATTTATTGTATTAGTAAAATTTGGTTAGAGGTAGTGGGACATATGATTAAAACGGAATTAAAATTGGGAAGTGGATTGAGCTGGATGAAGGGTTTAAAAAAGATAAATAAGTTACTTTGAGTGGTGAATATAATATGAAAGGCCAGAAAATAGGTAGATGGAATATTCTCACTTTAAATTATAGTAACTAATTGTGGTAAAAATATAAAAAGTAGATTTTATAGTGGTTGTATAAATTTTGATGAAAATGGAAATAAAATATATAAGACTGAGAAGTGATTTATTTGTTTATTTTTAGTAAATCTATTATTTTTGTTGGATAATTTAGAAATAACGCAAAAATAGATAGATGGGATACTTTGTATAAATATAATGAGAAGGAATATATAAAAATGTAATTATTATTAAGATGTGTTATTATTTTAGAGGTGGTGGTATATATAATTAAGTGGAAATTAAGGTTGGAAAATGGATAGAGATGGACGTAGGGTTTAAAAAAGTTAAATAAGTCACTTATAAGGGTGAATATAATATTAATGGTATGAAGGTAGGAAGATGGAATATTAATTTTGCCTATTTAGAAAAAGATGAATACAAAGAAATGTAAACTTCATAATAATATTTTAGTGGTGGTGGATCATATGATTAAGAGGAAAACAAGATAGGAAAGTGGATAGAGTTGGATGAAGAGTTTGATTAATAGAAATAAATCACCTATAATGGTGAATATTTTATGAAAGGTATAAAGATAGGTAGATGGGATATTAATTATTGTGATCTAAATGGAGATGGAACATATAAATTAATGTATATATTGAGAAATAATCGGTTAGTGGTGGTGGATAATATGATTAAAAGGGAATAAAAATTGGAAAGTGGGCCGAATTGGATAAAGAGTTTAATTAATCGAAAAATATCACCTATAATGGTGAATATTCGTCGAAAGGTATAAAGATAGGTTTATGGGATATTAATTATTGTGATCGAGATGGCGACGGAAAATATAAATTAATGTATTTATTCTATAAATATTGTCATAAAGTGGTGGTGGATCATTTAATTAAGAAGGGACCAAAATTGGGAGGTGGACTGAGTTGAACGGAATTTTTTCTAAATATTATTAATTCACTTAAAGTGGTGAATATAATAAAAAAGGTAAAAAGATTGGTGTTTGGATTGAAATGGATATAAAGAATAACAAAAAACACGGAAAAAAAAAATATGATTATTGAATATATATGAAAAATAAAATTTAAATTCATAAATGTGTTTTAGGACTAATTTATTATTTATGTAAGTTTATAAATAATTTATTTAAGCCTACGAAGTATTAGCTTTCTCTATGTTTGAATTTGGTTCTTATAGCTATTAGATCTAATTTTATTATTGAGAGTTTGCAAAGTATTCATTCTATCAAATAACTCTGTTGAAGCAATGTTTTAAATTATTGTTTTTTAATAAGGTATGATTATTTTCATGGTGCCATAATGAACAGGGGATCTTTAAAAAACCTGCTGAAAAAAAATTCTTCTTTCTAGACTATTTTTGCAAGAGAAATCTCTATTCTTGTGAACTTAATTCAAAATATACCAAATATGAAGCCAAATCATAAATATATTTCTTATTCATCAAAGCGATAAAGTATTTTCATGATTAAAAAATGGGATGATAAAAAAATTCCATGATGTATAAATAAGGGATGATTATAACAAAGTTTTTGATAAAATAAATCTTAAGTTGAATTCTCTTGAAGTGGTCTCCATACATACATGTGTAAATTAGTTCCGAAAAAAGAACTTTATTTTAGTTAATTACTGATATATCTGAAGCAATCATAAAACGGTCATATTTAATATCACGATAATTTTAAAAGGGGTAGATGAAGCTATAATTCCAATTCTAGTAGATCTTGTTGGAAAATTATAGAATACAGAAAGTTAAAAATATGGAGATTTCAATGACAAATAGATAGCTTAGATATTATGTAGGATAAGAATAAATTAGGAAAATATAAATAAATGTAAATTTTTTACCAGTACAGAGATTATATTTTAGTGGTGATGGATCACATGATGGAGAAGAAGAGTAAAGAATAGTTTTATGATTCTTTGTTAATAAGTTCTAAGTTTTTCAAAATAAGAAGGCAATAATAATGAAAATTATTATATAGAGAAACGCTAATCAAACTTAATTAATTATTCAATAGTAATTTCATCATTATGGACTACATAAGTTTATCTTTGAAATATATTTTCATTTTCTTATCTTTTTTAAGATGTATTAGATAGAATTTATTTTTAAGGCTTTGTTTTTTTTAAGCAATGAAAAGTATTGATTATCCAATCAATAGATCATCAATTTATAAATCTCTCTAAAAACCTAATTGTGAGTTTATTTTGAGGATCATTGATACTCGATTATAACAACCTTGAGCTTTTAACAAATGTTAATTAGATAATTATAATTATAATAATTAAAAGCCCTTCTCTCATTAATTTTATTATTATATTTAATATTCTTTATTACTTTACTTAATATTATTAATCTTTCAATTTTAGATTTCAAGCCAACATTTCCTCATCCAAGGTTTTTACTAAGGACCATTAAAATAGAGTACTAATAAAATTTAACATGAAAATTAACCCATTTTTCTTATTTTTTCCAATTTCATTTTCAAAACCTTCACTTCTTAAAATAAAGCTATAATTTTAATTTAATTTTTTTATTCTCTTTTTTTTTCATCTAAAACAGAATACCTTTGCCCGGTTTCATTCTTTTTTTACATTTTCCTTCATGAATTATTGTAAAATAATTGAAGATTATTGAATTTTGGTTACTTTGAAAAGCTTCTATTTAAAACAAAATTTATCTTTTCTGTACCTTAAAATTAAATTTTTTAAAAAAAGGTAACTTAATAAATTAATTGAAAGAGAAATCATTGAATTAAGTTGAACCTAATTATAAATTTGATTAAAAACACACAATATTTGAAAATGAGAGTAAAATTATAAGATTAACTAATAAAATGATTAAGATGATGAAAATATTTTTATTAAATAATAAATATTTTATTATAGTCATTTTAATTTATAGGTTTGTTTTCTTCTAAACAAAAAAAACTTAGATAATAGGAAGATACTTAATCTCTTATTAATGATCAAATCTGAAAGCCAAGACAATTGAGAATATAAAAAGTAAGATTTAAGGTATTTGGAATGAGATAATCTTAAAAATAAAATGTAAAACATATTTTTAGACTGAAATCAAAAGAATTTTATAAGAAATTCTCATTCCTACTTCATATATATGACTTAGAAGGATATAAAATAAAGGTAAAAATTTAATTAAATTCTTGTATAAAAGGAAATGTTTTATCAAATTTGTAATTAATTTAATAATAAATATATATTAGAATGAAATCTCATATTTTTTCTTGAATAAAACATCCTTACCTAATTCCATTTATATATTCTCCATATTATATAGTTCTTCTAGCTCTATATTTAATAATTTACTTTTACGTCCAAAATTCATCATGTAAATCTATCCACTGACCTTGCTTACTTCCATTTTTATGATAACAACCTCCTCCACTAATTTTCAATTTATGTTTTACATTAATTTTAATTATTCTTTTTACGCATCATCAAATCTTTTGAAAAGAGTGTCCCATTTTCCTTATTTCTTTCCCTTTTTGTATTCTCCTGAAAACTATACATAGCGGTTTCTTCAAAATTATAATAAAATTTTACTATGAAAAGCTTTCAATCAACTCTATCCACTTACCATGTTTTACTCCATTTTTATCATAATTTCCTCCTCCACTAAATATCTACATTAAAATTACATTTTTTTATGTAAGAAATCATCATTCTTAATTCTAAAATAAGTTTTCCATTTACCAATTTTCCTTCCATTCCTATAACATCCTTAATACAAACTAAATTAGTTTAAATAATTGTTATCATCTATATCTATCCAATAACCTTCTTTCAATCCGTTTTTATTATATTACCCTTAACCGCTTTATAATTTTAAACCTTATTTACATAATAATATCATCCATAATTAATCGAGTTTACCATAATCCAACTTTTATACCTTTTTCATAAATGCCAATTTCAATTGCTTAATTATATCTAAAATCTATTTTTAAATTACTTATTAAAGTTTTTCCTAATTTGAATCCATAATCCTGTTTTTATTCCACAAAGATTATAATTTCCTAATCCACTTTTTTCTTATATATCAAAAATCTTACATCAATTTATCAGAAAATAAAGTTTTCCATTCTCCCCTCCTAATTCCATGATGATAGTTTCCTAAACAAGTTAAAGTATCTCCGCTAAAATATAAGACTGTATGAAATTACTATAGGCAATTTTCATCTAATTCAATCCATTTTCCATGTTTTGATCCATTTTGATCATAAAAACCTCCTCCACTTAATGAAATAAATACTTACATTTAAATATTTTAGTCCTTAATAATTTTCCAACTTTTATATTTCTTTCCATTTATATAACTTCCTTAATGAGTTATTTCTAATTATCTTTTTCTATAATTGAATATTACTAAGAGAAGTTTTCATCTAATTCTGTCCATAATCCTTCTTTTAATCCATTATCTTAAAAAATGCCTCCTCCACTTTTTATATTTTTCAAAAGTACATAATTTAATCATGATTTGAAGTATTTAATCTATAATTTATTTTCCATACGCCTTACGGTTTTCCATTAAAATAATTTCCAGAGAAATTAACGAGACATTAACTTAAATTTTATTATCTGATACTTGAAATAATTTTCATGTAATTCAACCCAAAACCCATTTTTTTATCCATTTAAATTATAAACACCACCTCCACTAAAATAATAATTTACTTTTATTACATAATCTTTTCTTAACTTTTGGTATTCCAGAGACCTAATTTTTTTCCTTTGTCATATATTCCAAAATATTTTATACATTTACTTTTATTATTATATTTTGATACTTATAAAAAAGATCATCTAATTCAATCCATTTGCCTTTTTTTAAACCATTTTCGTCAAAATTTCCACCTTCACTAATATTCACTAATAATTAAGTACAAAATATCATTTTTTAAAATTATTTTCCATCTACCTATTTTTTTTTCATTTTTATATACTCCTTATAATTTAATTGGAGATCTTCTAAAAAGTCTAAAAAATAAATTTCTACTCCCAATAATTTTTAAATAATTCAATCCAAAATCCTATCTTAATTCCATTTTCATTAAAAAATCCACCAGTATTTATTCTTTCTCCTTTCCAAAATGCTCTCCATTCTCCAATTTTTATTTAATTAAGCAAGAATCCTTCCCATGTTAAATTTTATAAAGTATCTATGTTCATAAAGCTTTCACACTTATTAATTCCTTCTTTTAAATCTTAACTTTTGAAGAATAAACTCTTAGTATTACTTTTATAAAATCTCTCCATTATAAATATAAATTAGATCTCCATTTAAAGTTTATATAATATAATTTGTTTTCTAAAATCTCCAGTTTAAACCAATATTATAGTGACCTTTATAACCTATTTCATGATTAATAATCATTTAATGATTGTTATTCTCCATTTCTAATAATATTAATAATAAAAAATTTATATTTATGTAAATTCTAATTTTATAAGGAATCATCAGAAATTAATAGGAATCAATCAAATTTTTATTTTCTATTGACATTTATAGATTAAAGTATCTAAATTAAATTAATCTAAGTTTAATAATGAGTTAGTTTTCTTTTAAGTATTGTTAAAGAATAAATAATAAAAATTATTCTTAATTACTCTTAAAATATCTTACTAAAGTTCAATAATTAAGGTTATTTTAAAATTCTTTTGTTAAATATAAACTAGTGTATTATTGTTGATAATTAAAATAAAAGTCTTGCAGTTTATTTACAATCAATAAAAAAATACCTCTTAAATTATTTTCAATTTCCTAAGTTATATAATAATATATCATTACTTATCAATTATTTCTAAATTTTTTTTATTATATTATTCCATACTCAAATTTATTATCAATTTTAAAAGGAAAAAATATATTGATTAATTTAAATCTCATTCTAATCTACAATTTAAGATCCTAATAAAGTAAAAAGAGAAATTCACTCTCAATTAGCTGAAGAAAACTTGCAAATTTACCAAAATAATTTGAATGTTCATGAATTTGTTAAGTTAAGACCTTTTGAGCTAAATTTTTAATTTCTTGATTTGAAAAACTCTTTGAGGTTTGAATTATTTATACTGATTTACTTGTGAATTGTAACTGAATTCAATAAGTTATTTACAAATTTATAAATATATGAAATTTAGAAAAGCTCTATAAATAAAATTAAAGATATTCTATGCCTATGAAAATTTATTTTATAATTTCTTTTTAAGGTATCTAAATATTCATCTTGATCTTAGATTTAAAATAACAATTAGTGATTCTATTTTATATACAAGTGATTTGAATTAGATAGTTTATTCAAAAAACAATTCATTTATTTAGAATTTAATTTTAGGAATAACAGTTAATATAGAATTATTGATATAAAAGGTGTTATTTTGATTTTGTATTTAATAAAATGGTGGAAATCAATGGTGAAATCAAGTTGATTGTAATGTATCTGGAATATATTTGAATCAAACTAACTAATTTATTGATCAATCATTGAATTCATTCCAAAATTCTTATTATTCAACAATCAAGTTAAATTGAATTCCTACTTAAGATAAACCTATTAGGTTTATCTTAAGTTGTAGATTAATGTCATGTAAAATTGATGGCACCTGTATGGTTAACTTTAGGAGAAACAAAAATATTTTAAAGATTTCTAGAATTATTCGAAAATTTAGAAATTTCATCATTTAATTTAGAGAATTGGATAATTTAAAATTGATTCTTCTGTTTGATTGAGGTTCAAATCTTGACTAAAAGATATCAAATTAATGCTAAAATTGGATATTATGAAATTAGATTAATGATTATTGATTGTTAAATTTATATGTTAAAATGTGATCCTTTATTTGTTTAAACAATCGAAATTCAATTATGCACATTTCTATATTTTATAATAGATTATTAAATCATTATTCTTATATCTCCTTATATTATTCCAATATAAAAGGGTCTTAATATATATTTGAACAGTAATTAGATCAAATTTAAGTTATTTAAATATGAATTTAAAATCATAAAAAATAATAAGATTAAATTTAAAAAATCAAAATTTATGAAATTAGTTATATTAACTTTTGATCATCTCTAAATAAAGTTATTAATAATTAGTTAATTAATACTAATAATGAATATTTTAAATTTATGAAACTTAACTCAATAATTTAATATAAATTCATTCTGTTTCTTCTGGAAGAGTTTATAATTATTAAGTACATGATAAGCATACTAAAAATTACCATTTTATTAATTTTATTAACTGCTGCAAATTATGCAGGAGTTATTACCACATTGATTACATTCATTAACACACTTAGAACACTATGAAATATACAATTTCAGCAATTGATGTCTTATGAAATAATTATGTTATAACAGTTAGAACACTTCAGTATAATCTAATCTTCTATATTTCAATCTTCATCATTCATTTTTAATAAACTTTAGTGTAATAAAATGAAGATTTTTACACATGCTATTGAATTATTATTTAAAGGTTCTCTTTTTACTATTGCTTAAAGTGGGAAAAATAAATTCTCCATTTATACATATTCTTAAGAGTTTCGATAGTTGATTTCAGAATCTCTTTCTTTTCTAACATTAGAATAGCATGAACTCGATTATCGAAACATATATATTAATTATATAGATATAAAAATAAAACCTTTAATCTTATGAATCAAATTCAATTAATTTTCAACTTATTTCATGTAATCTTGATAATCAACTTCATATTAATCACTGTATTAACAAATTCTGTTACTTCCGAATACTAAAATATGGCAGTAGATTCTTAAAAAAATAATCTAATTGATGTTAATCTTTTTATAATAAAATTACTATTCCCTTACAATAAGAACATTAATCTGTTCTACTATCTCAAAAAAAATAAGTTTTCTTCTTGGACTCTTTAATGATTGAGGGGATCCTTTGGATATGATTTACTTACTCATATATTATTAATATCCAATGAAAAGTGAATTGGGAAAACAGTTAGAAAATTTGTTGTTTAGTTTTTAAAGGCTCAGCAAATTTGATTTTCCTTTCTATAATTTCATCATATGTGTTTGGGATCTTTGAATATCTTAAAGAAAATATAGAACTTTTGTTCATCATTAATTATTAAAATTATAATTTTTATAAGTATCTAAATTAAGAGTAAATAAAAGGGATAAATATAAAAAGAAAATACTAGATCACTTTCAGAATGTATAAAATGAATCCTAAGTAATATTATTGATTAATAATGTAATAGCAGATAATTAACAATATTGATTATAAGTTAGATGAACTCCTTAATAAAATTTCTGATACTATGAAAGTTGATATTCAAAGGTCCCTTTAAAATTTAGATATTTCTTAGTACAAATAAATGGCTCTACTGGTAATTAATGTAGATATATAATACAATTTTAGATAAATGTAATACGATATCTAAAATCAGAATTATTATAAGTATATATATTGGCATAAGTTTTTTTATAAATGTTGCTTCTATCATACTCTTATCGTTGATATTTTTATGTGTTGTCAATTATTCTCATATAGAAATTAAAAGACCAAGGATATCTTGTTTTACTCCATAAAATCTTAATCATAAAAGTTTATTTACAAGAAAAAATTGTTTTGCTTAAGAATAAATGGCTATCTATTCTTGTCTTGCAATTCTTTTTTGGTTTTTTACAATTTTTATTTTCATAATTAACTTCAAAATTGTGATTTTATTATTTTTTCTAGATTTTGCAGTTCTATTCATTCATAAATAACATGCAATATTTAAAGAAGTATCATATTCAAATTTAAAAATGTGAATTAATTATAATTTATCAATAATAAATTTTTAATATTTAAAAATTCTGATACTTTCTATCTTTACCAATTAAACAATTAAAGAATAAATCAAGTAAGATTTAATTTTAATTATAAATTCCCTTTGTTTGTTAATCAATCAGAACTTTTATAGCGAATGACAGAATAAAAACCAATTATAATTAATTATAATTAAAAGTAGGCCTATAAGGAAGGAATTTATTTAATTATTGGAATCTAATCTATTGAAAATTCTTTTAGAGTTTCACATTTTACAAAAAAGAAGTATTATGTAGAGTGCAAGAATGGAGAGTTTATTTATAGTAAAGATGGTGGATTATTAAGAAAGTGAGTATTAAGTTATTTTAGAGAGAAAATTAAAAAAAATTCTTATATCATAACTACTTTTGATTAATTGTCAAGCTTAAAATGGGGAATTGAATATGAAAAACAGAATATGGCAAAATGGTGTCCTATTTGGGATTAAAAAAAGTTAAATGCTGGAGGATATATTAAAGATGATGATTGCAAAATTGGAAAGTGGATTGATTTATCTGAGAATTTCAGCAAGTAAATCTTATTAGAATAAACTTTAAGCATATCTAAGGTTACACATGAAGGTGTATATGAGGATGGAATAAAAATTGGAAGATGGGTAACTATATATTCAGAAAAAATCATGTATTTATTTAATTTTATAAAGTGGGGAAGGCATTTATAATTCAAAAGGAATGAAGAAAGGAAAATGGGTTGAGATATATTAAAGATTTTCCGAGTATTACATTTTTTGATGATTAGCTGTTGTTAAATTACCTTTCATGGAGAGTATAGAGAAGGAAAAAAATTTGGGTTATGGGAAATTTTGCATACTACTCCTAAAAAAAAATAGATTATGTAAAATTCATATTCATGAACATTATGAAGTGGTGGTGGCTTTTATGGATTCGAAGAGTAAAAAGTAGGAAGATGGATAGAATAGCATGAAAATTTCACAAACTTCATTGATTCTAATCAGTATAATTGTTAACTTCTTTAACGTGGCAATTATTAATATGGAAAAAAAATTGGAAGATGGGATATTTTATTCTCAAAAGATCCGATTTCTCTATAAAAATTCGAAATCATGTACTAATTTATGTATACATTTTAGAGGAGGAGGTATTTATGATGAAAATGCATAATAGTAGGGAATATGGTTTGAATTATCTGAAAATTTTGGAAAGTTTAATATTTTTTTCAATTATTAGATATAGTTAAATAAGATCTTTAGGTGAATATTGGAATGGAAAAAAATATGGAAGGTGGAATACTTAATTTAGAGATTATCAAGCTACTGATTTTATTAAAATGTAATTTTACTTACTTGATTTTAGGGTTGATGGAGAATATGATAATGAAGGAAACTAAAAGGGAAAATGGATTGAATTATTTGAGAATTACAGAAAGTACTTATTTATCAAAATAATTAACCTAGTGATATCTAGATTATATACACAGGGGAATATAAAAATGGTATTAAATATGGGTTATGGGATATGAAAAAGAGAAACTATTTTAATAAATAGTTTATATATTTGTAATCATTAATTTAATTTTAAAGCGCTGGAGGTGTTTATATTTTAGGACAGAAAAACGGAAAGTGGATTGAAATAGATTAAGATTCATATTAGAAAACTTTCTTGTATTTATATTGACACTAATTTATTTAAATTAGGAATTATACACATTGCTAAGTTGTTTAATATAAGGATGGTATTAAGTCATAGTAAATCACTTGTATTTAGGTAATTTGAGCTATATAATCCTATTTTTAAATAATAATTATTGATTTATTATTTTCCTATTTATAAGATTATCTAATCTAAATTTCTTTTGATGTATTAACAGATGAACATGATGATTATAATGTAAATATAAATTAATTAAAATATTTTTAGATGTCTTTTGTAATATGCATTGAGTAAATTATGCTACAGTTTTGCCTTTTAAAACTTTTAGTTAATTTATTCTAACAATTAAGACTATTAGT